AAAGATAATAAAGAAAAAAATCAAGCTTCCTTTCCCTCAGAGGAAAAGCCTGGTCCCCTACAGGAGTTTGAAGAATATATGAGACTTTCCCATCAGGAATCAGGGACCTAAAGTCCAAAGGAAGTCATCTGATGCTTCAGCCTTCAGGTGAGGAACCAAATCACTTTGTCCTGGTGCTTGTGTGACAACACAAACCCCTGGGCCTAGGACTGTGTGGGCTTCTCCTGCTGCTAGAGAGGGAAGCCCTTCTGCTATAGACCCCCACATAGATTAGGTTGAATCTTGAGGGAAGAGGTTGTGCATGTATGAAAAGTCCTCTTGGTCCTTGTAACACATAGGACATGTGAAAATTCTGCAGTGGACCCATGTAACACACAGGATAATCCAAACTGCAGTTCAAACTCTCCCTTCTCTAGGCCAAACAAGCTGATTTATGATGGAAAACAAACTTAGAAAAGTCCCAGAGAGGCGTGGGGCTCCTTGAAAAGGATTCTGCCCTTGGAGTCTATCTCTCAGGGTTTCTGGGCCACCTTCGGGTCACAAGTGTCCCAGAGGAGCTGTCTGGACTCCTGTCACAGAAAAGCAAACATTTCCTCTCTGGAGTTGGGTTTCTCCTCCTTTTTTGACTCTCCTTGTGGACTCACCTGAACTGCCAAATTTAAGCTTATCTAGGGTTTTGCTATTTAAAGTCACACAAAAGCAGCCCCCCCCCCTTTTTTTGCATGTCCAATGAGTTAGCTCCTTTTAATTCCATAAGAGAAAGGTATTCACATTTGGTAAAGGAATGATGCATTAACACCTGATTATCTTTGTGATCTACTCTTTGGCTTGGCGACAGTAGCAATTGTGGGGGGTTGGGGTGGAGGGAAAAAAGTCACCTTCACTTCCAAAAGGTAAAAAAAAAAGATGGCAATTTCTTGTCAAGGCGATTCATGCTATGGTGTATTATGTGAGGACTGGATCTAGGGATGCCAGAGACTCTGCTGGCCTCCAATCTTGCATCTCAAACCACCTTTCAGATGTCTTGAACTGGATGTCCAGTAGATATCTTCAGCTCCCTAAGTTCAAAACTGAACTCATTAGCTTTCCCCCTAAACCTACCCCTCCCTTCCTTATTGCCTTAGTGGTCAACACCCTCCTCCCAGTGCTTCAGGCTTGAAAACTAGGAGTCATCTCCTCACTATCTCTTATCCCTCTCTATCCAAACTTGCCAAAGCCTATTGATTTCACCTTTGTAACATCTTTAGAGTACTTTCCTTTCTCTCCTTTAACACTCTAACAAGGCTCTCATCACCTCATGTCTACAATAGCCTGCTGGTGGGTCTGCCTGCCTTAAGTCTCCCCCTTCTCCAATTCATCTTCCGTTTAGCCATTAAAATAATTTTCCTAAAATGCAGGTCTGATCATATCACTTCCCTACTCAATAAACTCCAGTAGGCTCTTATCGCCTCCAGGAGCAAATACAAAGTGCTCTATTTGGCATTCAATGCCCTTCATAACCCAGCCTTCTTCTACCTTTCCTGTCTTCTTATACCTTACTCCCCAAAACATACTCTTTTTTTGGGGGGGGCAAACAGGGTTAAGTGACATGGTTAATAAGTATCTGAGGGCACATTTGAACTCAGGTCCTCCTGACTCCAGGGCCAATGCTCTAGCCACTGTACTACCTAGCTACCTCTACACATATTTTTTGAACCAGTGACAGTGGCCTCCTGGCTGATTTGTGAACAAAACACTCTATCTGTCCGCTCTGGGCATTTTTCTCTACCTGTCCCCCATGTCTGGAACATTCTCTCTCCTCTACTCCAACTACTGACCTCCTTGGCTTCCTTTATTTATTGTTGTTCAGTCATTTTTGCATGTTTTGCTTGACTTCACATTTATTTATAATCCATATATTACTTGCCTTCTGCCTGACTACCCAAGGAGGGGCTAGAGGGAGAGAATTTGGAACTCAAAATTTTGAAAAAGAATGTTAAAAAATTTTTTACATGTAATTGGGAAATATTTAATGAAAGAAATAAAACGTATTTTGAAAAAAGATAGAGAATGGACCTGAGGGGCATCTAGGTGGCACAGTGGATAAAGCACCAGCCCTGGAGTCAGCAGGACTTGAGTTAAAACACTTCAGACACTTGACACTAGCTGTGTGGCCCTGGGCAAGTCATTTAATACCATTGCCTAGCCAAAAATAAAAAGACTGGGACCTCAACAGCTTTGACCAGCCTTGAAGTAAGGAGGAGAGTTGAAAAGAGAAGAGAACCCCAGGTGGGGCTGGCCCAGGCCTTTGCAAGCTAGTCTCCTTCTGTTTTCTCACAGTGGAGTAATCCTGGCTAGAGTTTCTAGCTAGAGTTTCTTCATGACTTTAATTTAATTTCTATTGACTTTAATTCATCAAGAACTTGAAGGCTATGGGTATACTTCACAAAAACTGTTTTCTGTACTCAGTATTATCTTCCTCCCACTCTATATACAAGGATAGCTAGGTGGTGCAGTGGATAGAGTGATAGGCCTACAGTCAGGAAGACCCATCTTCCTGGGTTCAAATCTGGCTTCAGACAGTTACTAGCTGTATGACCCTGGACAAGTCACTTAATCATGTTTGCCTCAGTTTCCTCATCTGTAAAATGAGCTGGAGAAGAAAATGACAAATTACTCCAGTATCTTTGCTAAGAAAATCCCAAATGGGGTCATGAAGAGTCGGACAGGACTAAAACAACTCAATAACAGCACTCCATACACATGCTGATTGAGCTCTTATAGTCTTTTCACGGGCTGTCTCCCATGCCTGCAAGGTTCTCCTTCCTCATTTCCACTTCCTGGCTTCTTTCAGGATCCAGCTCAAATCCCACCTTTTGCAGACTTTTCCTCCCCCCCCCCACCTGCCTCCCCACTCATGCCTTCTTTCTGACATTAGTTTCTGCACTACGTCATTGCATACTATAAGTCTTATATAATTTTTTTTTTGTGTGTGTTGCCCCCATATTAGAAAGAGGGCTCCTTAAGATCAGGGATCATTGTGTATCCAATGCCTAGCCCATAGTAGGTGCTTTTTGACTGACCATTTAATCAAAATTAAAACAATGAAGTAGACTGTATCTGACAATGTATATGACATTCTGTACCCACCCATATCTTTCCCACCTCATTATAATGACACAGAATTCAGCTCCATTTTAATGGTTTTTTTTTTCATTTTTATTGTTGTAGCCCTTACATATATTATGTAAAGTGTGTGTGCGCTTTCCAGTTCTCCCCAGGTAGGGCACAAATGTCCACATGTCTCTGTCTGGATGCGGCTCAAAGAGAGGCCAGAATGGGTCTCTCCAGAGATGCCTCCACTCACGCTTCTCCTGAGGGAGCCCTGAGCTCCTGGTTACAAGAGCTTTCCTGGTTCTGCTGACTTCACTCTGCATTGTGGCATATGGTCTTCCCATATTTCTCTGACTTTGGTCTCTGTTTTTTTTTTTTTACACCAACAGCATTTTTTTATGGATAATATTGCTGTAGGAAGCACAGTTGCCTCAGAACTGGTGGCAAGGGAGCTAGTTTAGCCTCTGAGTCCCCGGGCTGGGGAGAGTCAGGCTCTAGGAAATAGAGGCTGTCTGCCAGAGTGGGGGCAGGGATCAATCCGGATGAGGGGAATCAGGCGTGAAAGTCATAGGGGCCGGGAAGGGGGTTTCCAATGGCCGGTGGTTTGATGCCAGCACTATCAGAGTAGAAGCCAGATTCAATACCACTCAGTCTGGGCCCCAGCGAAGGGGCAGGTCTGGCAGTTAGAGAGCCATGCACTGATCTGATCATTGGGCTGCTGGGTGGGGGAGAGCAGAACTACTGACCCATGCATGACCTTTTCATGGACCTTGCCCAAGGAGGAAAGCTGAGCAGGACAGGTGCCTTACGGTCATCAAGAGGGAGCTAATGGAGAGGAACTATGCCTTGTGGGCATCTAGGCATTTGGACTGGAAAAGATTCCTTACCGAGCTGAGGTCAGGGTCCAGTCCCCAGATCTCAAGGGTTTCAGCTCTCCAGTCCTCCGTCCTATCCCAAAACCTTTGCCTTGAAAAGCAATGTGATCCATCCACTCCACTGCATTTGTCACCTCGCCCCTTTGCAGAGGTGAGAGGTCCATGAGTATTGCACGTATTTCAGACTTTTTCCAGTTATTGATCGTCCAAGTTCTCCCAGCAAACAGTGTGAGCCTGTCCAGCTCTGCCTCAGTTTCCTCACCTGAGGAATGGGGCTTTTGGAACTTCTGGGAAAAGAAATATGCCAGATGGCAATTTGTAGTTTAGAGTAATGAGAAGCCTTGTTAGGGTCCTAGCCCAGTGCACTAAGCCTGCCTAGAGAAGAGGAGTTAGGGAGGATGCAGTATAACACGCAAAAAGGTCCAACAGCATCAGAGAGAAAAGTTACCTACATTAACTTCAACCTTCCGGGGTTGCTTGGTATGGGTAGAGAGTGGTGGGGCTTAGTTTAAGAGTCAAAAGGGTAAGTGCCTAGGGTCCTTTAGAAACTCTTAGCCATGTTTACATGTTTCCCAAAGAAGAACAGAACCGCTGGACAGTCTGCCCAATGGCCTGACCGCAGTGGTGTGTGCCCACTCTGCCCTGAGGAGGACTTCCCTGGAGAACCAGACACTGGAGTTGGAACAGTCCAGGACCCACAAGTGGGCAAGCCCACCCAGCCTCCTTCCTCTTCTCTCTCCTGCCCATCTCTGCAGCCAGCTCCCCATAGCTCTCCCTAGCATGCTTGCCAAAGAGCTGTCGAGTTTCCTCCGTGCTGGGGCACCAGGCTGGGTCATGGGAGTGGAGGAGGCATCTTTGACTAGAGATTGGCAGGGGCCCCAGAAACTCCCACCTTCTCTGGTTTGCCTGCCCTCCAGGGGGCTTGCATCACCCCTGGGAAGACAGGAAGGGAAAAGCAGATTCTGGGAGCAGATGGGAAGGCCTGGGGATTGCAGAGGGTCCACTCTCCCCCTCAGGGGCCTTGCTGGTCAGGACAATAGTCCCTACGGCTGTCATGCTGAAGCTCAAGTGGTTGTCTGGGCAACAGCTGAGGCCAGTTTCCACCAATCCATGGCAAAGATAGGTTGGGGGAGGGAGGCAAGGGAGGAAGGAGGGGAACTGCTCCCCACCAAAGGCCAGCATCCTATATAAGGAGCCAGGGCAGTGGGGAAGGGATCAGTGTGGGGTATAACCTGCTCTTGGGGTTGGGAGTGAGGACACAAAGATGCCTGGGACTCATCACTCCAAGCTTGGGCCCTGGGGCAACTTCTGGGCCACCATGACCTTACTGGGCCTAGCAGTGCATGCAGGTAAGGACTGGGGTGAGACAGAAAGAGGCAGGAAGTCCTTTCCCTTTTGGGTTGGGGGTGGGGTTAGGAGGTGGGAGAGATCAGTATCTGGTGAGGGAGAAGGGATGGAGCCTGAGAGAGGTGTGGGATCCACCTTGGCATTTCCAAGGGCAAAGAGAACTGATGGGAGGGCACCTGGATAAGAGGGGTAGCAAGGGGTCCCTTGGCTGCCACAGGGACATGTGTGTAGGGTCCATGGGAGGGGCTGCCTCTACTCTCTACTCTCTCATCCCAGAACTTTGAAGGGATGGTTGGTGGAGTGAAGCTGATTCGGAGTGTCCTGGGCAGGGAGCCTCTCACTGATCAGCTGCCCCCCTCTTAGACCCAGAGAGTATTAAAGTTGGAAGGGACTTTAAAGATCTTTTCATTCATCCTTCCCCCCTCCACATACTTACCAAGAAAGGTTTCTCTCCTCCCCTCCCCCTCTCTTACTTAGTCGGCTTAGGGACAGAAAAGAAGCTGCTGGCATTGGGACAGGGGAGAACAGACTGAAGCTTTGCTTTCCTTCTTCTCTCCCTGCCCCCCTAAAAGTCGATTTGGGGCATCCTAGGAGCTCTGTCTGAATTGACTTGTTTTTACTTTCATCCTCTTCCCGTCTCTTTATTTTCTCATTCTCTCTCCTAGTCCTGCCCTCCCTCACCAGACTTGGAGTCATAATAATAATAATAATAATAATAATAATAATAATAATAATAATAATAGTTGCTAACATTTATATAGCTTTTTTTTTAAGGTTTGCAAAACACTTTGCATAGGTTATCTCTTTGGATATTCACAACAACCTGGGAGGTAGATGTTATTATTATCCCCATTTTCAGATGAGGAAATGGAGTCTGAGAGAGGTTATTTGCCCAGGGTCTCATAGCTAGTAAATGTCTGAGAACAGATTTGAAATCGAGTCAATAATCCCTCCATTTATAGGATCGTAGATTTAGCACTAAAAGGCACCTTAGAAATCATCTAGTCCAATCCTTACTGCTCTCACCCCATTTCACAAGTAAGAAAATAAATATAATGGCAAAAAATAAGAATGAAGTGACTTGCCCAAGGTCACAAAGGTACTAAGTCCTCTGATTCTAGAATCTAATGCTTTCATTGCACCATTCAAGGCCCAGATCAGTCATTTACAAGTTATGGGACCATGGGCATCATTTAAGTTCCTTGAGCTTCAGTTTCTTACCTATAAAATGGGAGGAGGGCAAAAATAATTTATTATTATAAACAATAATTTATAGTGGCCTGGTATAGTGCCGAGGTGTCAAATCTCGTGGGGTGAGAAACAGATTAAAATGTACATGGGAAATATTTAGCAAAATAAATAAAGTACAATAGACCATAGATAATGTCAATATGTAGCTAGGTGGCACAGTGGATAGAGCGCTGGACCTGGAGTCAGGAAGACTCATCTGCTTGAGTTCAAATCTGGCCTCCGACACTTATAAGTTGTGTGATCCTGGGTAAGTCACTTCACTTTGCCTCAACTGGAGAAGGAAATGGCAAACCATTTCAGTATCTTTGCTAAGAAAACTCCAAATGAGGTAATGAAGAGTTGGACATGACTGAAAAGGACAAAATAACAAAAAACAGCAAAATGTTAATATGTGGTTTTCTAAGCTGTGATGTAGCCTGCAGTGATCCTTACGTACAATTTAGGGACCCTGGCATTTGTAGTGGATAGAGAGTTGACATTGGAATGAGGAGGTCCTGAGTTTAAATCCCACCTCTGACGCATACTGGGCTTACAACTCTGGGGAAGTCAATTGAAATTCTCAGTATTCCCGCAAGTCTCTAAGACTAAAAACGTTGCAGATAAGATGAAGACTTATGTTGTCTGGAGTGTCTTCATCTAACACTTGTCTACAATGGAAATGAAAGGTTTAGTCTGTTTTCTGTAAAACAGGGGTGGGGAGCCTGGGGACTGAGTTTGGATTCAGTCAAAGGGCTGCACTTGAGGACCTAGAGGGCCACATGTAGCCTTGAGGCTGCAGGTTCCCCACCCCTGCTGTAAAATAATAAAAATCACAATAAGTTATGAACCCAGTGTTTTGTAAATGGTTAAACTTACTGGGCTATTTCAATATTAAGTAACAGTGGAATAATATCCTTTACTCTGGGATGTTATTAGCAATAGACTTTTGGGGATCTGTATAATTTACCGCTGAGGTCACCTTCCTTTGGTATTTTTAAGCACTTTCCTTTCCTCCCTTCCACCAATATATTCATACACTTTATAATGTAAAGACCACGTTCCAGGCTTCATTATAACTTGGCTCATTTGTGCTTTAAGTTTGGCTATAGAACAAAGCACAGCACTTCTCTGGAACCCTAACCTATGAAGTGCAAGCAGGGGTGTTGTGAGCCTCAAGTGAAATAATGGATGTAAAGTGCTTTACAAACCTTAAAACACTGTGTAAATGCAAGTTATGATTACTATTATTAGCCTGCTGTCATCAGATCTCCAGTATGGTGATGACTTCAGTTCGGAGCCTTCTACCATACTCCTGCTGAATTTAAGCAATGTTTATAGAATAATACAAGGGTAACTGGTCAATCTTTAACTACTGGCTCCCCAGGAAAAAAAAGTGCAATACATTTTTAAATCTAGTCTACATTATTTACAGTTTCTTAAGTTTAGACAATAGGGCAGCTAGGTGGCGCTCTATGCTGTCTGCAGTCAGAAAGACCTGATTTCAAACCTGACCTCAAACACCTACTAGTTGTATGACCCTGGGTAAGTCACTTATCTCTGTTTACCTCAGTTTCCTCATCTGTAAAATGAGCTGTAGAAGGAAATGGCAAATGACTCCAGTATCTTTGCCAAGAAAACCCCACATGTGATCACGAAGAGTCAGACACCACTGAAATGTGTGAACAACAAGAAATCTAGACAATCAATAAAACAATAAATCATGCATAAGGAATGCTGATTTCGGAGGTGTGAATGCTCACCCTGAAAATTTGACAAAATTGTTTAGAGCTGCCTCCAGCACACCTCTGAGTGAAAGGTAGATGCAATATCATCAGCTTGTAGGTGCTGGTCCTAGTACAATAAAGGTGGACTAAAAATCCTTTCCACCATGTGGCCAGCTTAATAATGGATCACAAGGGAGTCTTCTGAAAACTGGATCTAGAGTGGCTCATTTCTGTGATTTTTCCATCAGAATTTGAGCAAGACTCAATTTGATCAGCTCATGGTACATCTATGGGAACGGGAATCCAAAACTTTTGATTAAATGAGTTGGGGCAGCAGCCTCTTCAGCCCAAGGGTGTGTGTGTGTGTGTGTGTGTGTGTGTGTGTGTGTATAGTGTGTTTAGGGGAGGCAGTGACTTATTATGACCAAAGCCCGCTACTTCAGTAGCTCTAAAGCCTAGACAGTTGGTAGGGTATAAAGGATTTGAAGAAAAGCAAAGAGAGGTATATAGGATGGGTATGGAACCATGGCCTGAGGCTGCTCTCACCCTGGCCTAAGAAAAGGTATGGGAGCACCTAGGCAGCTAGGTGACAAAATTGGGGTCACAAAGATCTCAATTTTTTTTTCTTTTTTTGTTTTGGTGAGGCAGGTGGGCTTAAGTGACTTGCCCAGAGTCACACAGCTAGTAAGTGTCAAGTGTCTGAGACTGGATTTGAACTCAGGTCCTCTAGACTCCAAGGCCAGAGCTCTATCCACTGTGCCACCTAGCTGCCCCAACAAAGATTTGAATTGGAATCCTGCTTTGGACACTCCCTCACTGAGTGACCCTGAGTAATTTATTTAACTTCTCTCAGACTCAGTTTACTAATTTGTAAAATGGGGTCATAACAGCACCTACCTCTCAGGATTGTTGATAGGATGCAAGGAGATAGCATATGGAAAGAGCTTTGCAAACCTTAAAGTGTTATATTGGTGTCGGCTCTTATTATTAGCTCTATACAAGAGCTGGGGTAACCTAGGTACAACTCCAGGAAGAATAGCATGGTCCCCTGGATGGCCTGCCCACTATCACCACCACTACTACTGCTATCACTAGCTTGCATGTGTAACATGATCATAGATTTAGAGCTGGGAGGACCTCTGAAGTCATACGGTACAACCCCCACATTTTACAAATGAGGAAACTGAGGCAGGAAAGGTGAAGTGATTTGCTAATGGTCCTGGAGGTAGTGAGTAGCATTGTGCCCCTCTGTCAATAATTCTCTGAGCTGCCCTTCCCTGGTCAGTAACACCTGTCCTTCACCTACCTGCACCTTCTTCTTTTTTTTTTTTTCCGCTAGGAAATGGGATTAAGTGACTTGACCCCAGGGTCACACAGCTAGTAAGTGTTATGTGTCTGAGCCGGATTTGAACTCAGGTCCTCCTGAATCCAGGGCCGGTGCTCTATCCACTGTGCCACCTAGCTGCCCCCTACCTGCCCCTTCTGATGAGAATTTGGACTCAAAATTTAAAAAAGGAAAGAATGTTTAAAATAAATAAATAATGAATTTTTAAAAATTAAAAAAAACTGTAGGTCTGATTATGTCATCCCTCTCTCCCTTAATAAACTTCAATGGCTCCTTGTTACCTCTAAAATTACTACAAAGTCCTCTGCTTGTTTCTGAAAGCTCTTTATAATCTGGCCCATCTCTACCTTTCTAGTCTTCTTAGGTTTTGCTCTCTTCCACCAAGTCTATGCTTCAGGTACCCTGGCCCACTTGTTGTTATTCCTTGTACATGAGACTTCGTTTCCTGACTCTGTGCCTTTGTAACAGCTGTCTCTCTTGCCTGGAATGCTTTCCTTGCTAACCCCTGCCTCTTAGTTCCCTGGCGTCCTTCAAGTCTCAGCTTCTTTTTCTTTTTCTTTTTTTCTCTTTTTTCAGAGGTTGGGGGTGGTGGTTAAAATGTGGGAGGTTGCAAGGGGTAGTTAGCACAAAAAAAAGAAAAGAAGAAAAAAGGACATTATTGAGGCATCTTTTAAAAATTCATAGAAGCAAACAAAAGGAAGGTCAGAAAGAAACACAGACAAGCAGGACAGCTTTGAAAGCTACAAGTCAAATTTGATGTACTTAAAGGGAAAAGCAAGCTTCACATAGTAGAGATTTGTAGTTCTATATATAATCCTCCTTTTCTCTTCTACCATATATATGGAAAGGTTCATTGGATTTGGCATGTTTTTTGTTTTTTAATTTTAAATAGTTTAATATTTTTTCTCATTACATGTAAAAATAATTTTCAACATTGGTTTTTAAAAAATTTGAGTTCCAAATTATGTCCTTTCTTCCCCTTTTCCCTCTTTGAGAAGGCAAACAGTTTGATATAGATTATACATGTGCAGCCATGTAAGACATATTTCCATATTAGGGATCTGGCATTTGTTAAGTTTAGAATAAAAATAAATAAAATTTCTCAAATGCCACCTTCTGCAGGAGGCCTTTAGCAGCCTCTTAGCTGCTAGAGCCTTCCCTCAGAGATTACATCTCCCATCACCTCTGTATCTATCTCGTTATTTAAATGTTGCCTTCTCGATTAGAATGGGCTCCCTGAGGACAAAGACTTTTTTTTTTTTGTATCAGCAGCGCTTTGCATGGTGCTCGGCACATGGTAAGTACTTAATAAATTCTCGTTGATGGAAAAAATGCTTTTTTGACTGCATGGGTGAGCAGCTGCCACGGGAGGGCGCCCACTGCCCTCCTCATGTGGACCTTGCTAGGGCTTTCTGGTCTTGCCCCAGGGTCTCCCTTCAGTCTGTCTCCCTTCCTCCCTCCCCAGCTCAGAAAGCATGTGTCTCTGGTGAAGCAGCAGATACCTCTATTAACCACTCCTTGACGATGCTCCAGCGCTTGCAGGAGTTACAACAGCTGGGCAATGACAGCGACACAGTATTGCGGGTGCAAGCCACAGGTACAGATGAAGTCCACATCTTCCACACTCACCGGCTGCTCCTGGGCCTACAGAGTGAGGTATTCCAGGGACTGCTGCTCAACCAAAGTGAGGTGACATTGCAGGAGCCCAGGGACTGTGCTGCCGTCTTTGACAAGTTTATCAGGTAGAGTCAAGTTAATCAGGATCCTTCAGTTGGGGTTTTTGGGGATCAGGGTATTTTAGTTGGGGTCTTTGGTGAATTAAGTTCATTAGGGTTCTTCAGTTGGGGTTTTGGGAGAGTCAAATCCATCAGGGTCTTTCTGCTGGGGTCTTTGGGGAGTCAAGTTCATCAGGGTCTTTCTGTTGGAGTCTTTGGGGAATCAGGTTCATTATGGTCTTTCTGTTGGGATCTTTGGAAAGTCAAGGTCATCAGCGTCCTTTAGCTGGAGTCTTTGGGGTCAGATATGGGCTGAGAGTGGAGGAGTGAAGTTTTATCATAAGGGATACCCTTTTCTCTTTCTTAGTCCCTTAGATCTTCTCTCTGGTGATTCATAGATGCTCAGGGGCCTCCAGAAATGATGTCCCAACTGCTGAGTAAAATGGCATCTTTTCAGACCACTCCTATTTGCAAATGTGACAGTCTCCTTTCACTATATAGCCTATTGCTAAGCAACCACAAGGATCAAAGGTATTCCTACCTGGAGCTATAACTAACATGGGGATATTAGAGCTTTGCTCCAGAACCTTGACTTTGGGGGGTGCTTCTTGTGAGGGTCTGCCCCCCCCCCAGCATCCCAGTACCATGGTACCCTTATCCAAAGGCCCATTTTCTTCCCCAGTCCCCATGTGATACAGGCCTAACTCTCTGGGTCATACCACTTTACTAGTGTGACTACACCCATATTGCAACGACAGTCCTTTCAACCCCCAATGAATTTGCACAAAAATTCCTACTTAGTGTTGTATTCCTGTTGCCTATCACAATACAAATCTGCTTTCTCTTTCTGAGTCTTTCAAGGGTTGGAGAACATTTGCTTTCTGTCCATAAGGCAGACAATCCAATTTTCTCCTCTACCTTCTCATCTCTGGATAGACTGACCTGCACCCTGTATCCCATTGTGGGGTTGGCAGTAAAAATATGTTGAGAGAGAGACAGAGGCAACAAAAGACAAATGGAGATCTTAAACAACTTGTGTGTGTGTGTGTGTGTGTGTGTGTGTGTGTGTGAGAGAGAGAGAGAGAGAGAGAGAGACAGACAGACAGACATACAGACAGAGGGAGAAAGAGAGACAGAGAGAGAAAGGAAGAGGGAGTGAGGGAGAGACAGAGAAAGAAAAGGAGAAAAAGAGAGAGAGAGGAGAGAGCCAGCTTAAAGTAAAAAAAAATACAAAAAAATCTAGGGAAAACCAACTTATACATTTAGTGATTGGGGAATGGCTGATTAAATTATAGTATGTTAATATAATGCTATTGTTCCATAAAAGTAACAGATATGAAGAGCACGAGGACATATAGAAAGATTCATACAAGGTGATGCAAACCCAGGTCAGCAGAATGAGAATGACGTGCACATTGACAACAACCAAAAAAAGTAAATAAAAAAGTAATAAAGTGATAAAAGCAATAATAATAATAAGACACTAGAAGTAATAAAAAAGAAATAAAGGCCATAAAAGTTTATACATACACAGGAGATACGGGACAGATGAACTGGTATTCTTATTGTGTGAAAAAAAATTGACTCTTTTTGCCGACCAAAATATAAATATTTCTACCTAACATATTTTCATTAAAGGTGAATTCCATATTTTGTTGAATTATTCATTTGTATTTCTTGAGTGTTTGTACTATCAATAATAAGAACCCAATCACTCACTAACTAAAGATATAGAGAGATAATAGACAGATAGCTATAGATAGATAGCTGGATAGAGACAGATAGATGAATATAGATAAATAGAGACAGATGGAAGAAAATATGCATTTATTAAGCACCTACTGTGTGCCAGGCACTGTGCTAAGTGCTTTACAAATATTATTTCATTTGCTCCTCACAATAGCCCTTTGAGGAAGGTGCTATTATTACCTTCATTTTACAGTTCAGAAAACTGAGGCAGACAGAGGTTAATCAATTTTCCCAAGATGACATAACTAGTAAGCATCCAAGGCCATATTTGAACTCAGGTCTTCCTGACACCAGACCCATCACTCTATCCACTGCACCACCTAGCTGCTGAAATAGAAATAGAGATAGATGTAAACAGACAGAGGGATGAATAGAAATAGATTGATGGATAAATAGATAAATATATAGATAAAGCAGCTAGAGACAGATTGATATAAATAGACAGATGACAGGTAGATAGATTGAGAGAGATTGAGAGGGAGCAGAGGGGGATAGAGAGAGGAAAAAGAGAGAAGAGAAAAAAGAGAAGAGAAAGAGAGAGAAGAGTGAGAGAGAAGAGGGAGGGAGGGAGCCAGCCCTTGGAAGACAATGAAAGCAAAATAGAGAGGAAGACAATAAGGGAGATGACAGGCAAGACTGAAGATTAATGACACAACAAGAGAAACAGAGGAGGAAGACAAGAACAGTGAAAGAACATGACAGTGATGTGAGATACAGAAGAATTCTTGACCTATAGAATTTTGGAACTAGAAGGAATATTAAAGATCCTTTAGAACAACCCCCCTTATTTTATAGAGGGGAAAAAATCATCATCCAGAGAAAAGTACTGACAGAGATGAAACAATGAGAAAGATGGGACAAGCTTGTGGGACTGTGAAAGAAACAATTTTAAGTTTGGTGAGGGAGGATGAGAGAAACGGTGGTGGTGTTGGGGAGACACAGTAATCAGAAGAGGAAAAGATGGAGCACGCTGAAAAGGAAAGCTCTAGTTTGGAGAATATGACCTTTGACAAGTTGCTTAATCTCTGACTCTCAACATAAAATGAGAGAGTGGACTAGATGATTTCTAAGGCCCCAGCTGTAATTCTTCAGTCTATTCTGAGCTGATACCGTAATCCCCAGAGAGTTCTCCACTACCTTTGCTCTGGATCGTCTCCTCAGGCCCTCCGCTTCCTGGGGCATAGAAAAGCAGACAGTGAGCCTGGCTGGGTGAGGGTGGGCTTCATAGCTCGGCCCCCACCGTCTCTTTTTTCCTCCCCTTCTAGGTATCTGTACTGTGGGGAGCTGTCCCTCCTGATGTCTCAGGCCATCCCCCTGCACAGATTGGCCAGCAAATACGGCGTGACTTCCCTACAACAGGGCATAGCTGAGTATATGAAGTCACACCTCGCGGGAGAGATGGGGGGTCCCGGTCCAGCTGTGGGTTGGTACCACTACGCAGCACGAACAGGCAACGAAGACCTCAGGGAGAGCTGCCTCCAGTTCCTGGCTTGGAACCTGTCGGCTGTGGTGGGGAGCTCCGAGTGGGGGGGAAGTGACTCCCGAGCTCTTGGCCCAGCTGCTAGACCGCTCTGACCTGGTGCTCCAGGATGAATTAGAGCTCTTTCAGGCCCTGGAAGTCTGGCTGGGCCGGGCCCGCCCTCCCACCCCTGTGGCTGAGCAGGCACTGAGGGCCATTCGCTACCCCATGATCCCCCCCTGCCCAGCTGTTCCAGCTGCAGGCCCAGTCGCCAGCCCTGGCCCGTCATGGAGAGGCTGTGGGGGATCTCCTTCTGCAGGCCTACCAGTTCCATTCGGCTTCTCCTCTCCACTATGCCAAATTCTTTGACGTCAATGGAAGTGCCTTCTTGCCTCGCAACTACCTCTCCCCAGCTTGGGGGGCCCTGTGGGTCATCAGCAACCCTGCCAGGGATGACCGAAGCACCAGCTTCCAGACGCAGCTGGGCCCCAGCGGGCACGACGCAGGCAGGCGGGTGACGTGGAATGTCCTCTTCTCCCCGCGCTGGCTGCCCATCAGTCTGCGGCCGGTCTATGCCGACACCGCCGGGGCCGCCCTGCCGGCCGCTCGCCCCGAGGACGGGCGGCCCCGACTGGTCGTGACTCCAGCCAGCATCAGCGGGGACGCCGCCGGCGTCAGCTTCCAGAAGACAGTCCTGGTCGGGGCTCGACAGCAGGGGCGGCTCTTGATCCGCCATGCTTACAGCTTCCATCAGAGCAGTGATGAGTCCGGGGACTTCTTGGCGCACACCGATCTGCAACGGCGCAACTCTGAGTACCTGGTGGAAAACGCCCTTCACCTGCATCTCATCGTCAAGCCCATCTACCACAGCCTCATTCGGACCCACAAGTAGTGGAAGGAGGGACAGAGGGAATGAGGGAAGGAAAAAGGGAAGGCCTCCATGGACTCCCCAGTTTGACAGTCCTGAATGGCAGTGACCATAAGCAGCTGAACTTCCTGGAATGGTGGCCAGACACGTGGCCCAAAGGCCTTTGATCGGGGCATTAAAGGCATCCCCAAGAGAGCTGGGTCTGTCCTTTTGGTCTTGGTACAGAGAGAGGCTCTGTCTTACTGTTCAACATCCTAAGGGGCTGCTTGATGTGTGGGCGGGGACAGAGTAGGGTCACAATAATAGTAACCTGCAACCACTGCTGTGCTGGAGTCACGAAGACCTGAGTTCAAATCTGACCTCAGACACACAAGTTGTGTGACCTTGAGAAAGTCATTTAACCCCATTTGTCTTAATTTCCTCATCTATAAAATGGGGATAATAATAGCACCTACCTTCAAGGGTTGTTGTAAGGCTCAAATGAGAGAATAATTGTAAAGTGCTTAGCACAGTGTCTGGCACATGGTACACACCGCATACATGTTAGTTGTTATTATTACTATTATATAATACTTTAAGATTTGCAAAGTGATTAAAAATTAAATATGTCATCTCATTTGATCTTCACAACAACTCTGGAAAATAAAGATGACATTTATTATTTTACCCATTTTAGAGATGAGAGATTAAGTGACTTTCCATGGTCACAGAGCTAGTAAAAGAGGTAAGATTTGAACCGGGATCTATCTAGACTCCTGGTCTAGCCTTTTATTCACTATGTCCATGCTCCCTCTCCAGGCAAGGTTAGGGCAGTGGGGGATGGGTGGGAATAGTGTTCCAGGTCAGGCTTCAAGGTTCCAGTCCTGATATCTGTGGCATTCCCAACTCCCATCTGGGTTCAGGGGCTCCAGTGGGCCAGATTGCTCTTCTTGGCTCCCAGTTACATCTGGTCCGGGGGAGAGCAGAGTACAGTGGAAGATAGGCCACAGAGCTGTGGCAGGTGAGGACAGGATGGGAGGAGGGCAAATGGACCTTGCTAGGTCCCTAACATGCTTTGTCAGTATTTGGAAGCAGACATTGTGGTATAGCAGAAGGAAGAAACATAGAGTGGGCAGACCTAGGTTCCAGTCCTAACTCTGCTACTTACTTGGACAAATCACTCCATTTCCCTGGGCCTTAATTTCCCCAATTGCAAAATGAGGGGAGTTAGGCTAGAATGCCTTTCCAGTACTCAAGATCTGTGATCTTGGTGATTCATTGTTCACCAGGGTCTCTATCCCTGCTACACAAAGGAGTTTGGCAGAGATGAGCATAGAGCCCTGAGACTCATCTTTTTTAGTTTTATCAGCCCTCAGACTTCTGTGCTCTGGCAAAATAATGGCTCCTACACATCTTAAGTGACTTGCCCAGGGTCACACAGCTAGTAAGGATCTGAGGCCAGATTTGAACTCAGGTTCTTCCAACTCCAGGGCCAGTACTCTATCCGTCATACCACATAGTTGCCCCAGATCCTATACTTCTGGTCTTAAACATGAACATGCAACTCCAGGTAGGATTTTTTTTTTTTATTGTTAAAAAGCAGGGGGGAAAGCCACTGTGATGTGAGAAAACTAAACCATCACCCTCAGCCCCCACCTCCAATACAAGACTGGACTCTAGCATCAGTCCCAGCTGTCTCCTGGGTTCCCCTTTCCCCAAATCCAACAGCTTCAGCACCCCTGTCCTATATTTGGCCCCAGGACCCCATTGTCTTCCCACCACCCTGCTGCAGAGGCTTAGGCTGGTGGGCTCTGCTGACCACATGGAAGCCTGATGGTGGGTGAAGAGTTTTGGCAACACATTTCTGTGCAGTGTAATCTAGGCAGGCCCAGGGGCTCTGGCCCTGGGGTTAGATCTCCCCCAGGCCATTCTGGGGATCCCTTCTTGGGATCATCTCCTTTTCCCAGGAAGTCCCCTGCCCCCCACCCCGGTTGCACTGACGTCACTGAAGTGGAAGGAAGCTGCTTTCCTCATTCCAGCACCTCCAGGACACAAACTTCACCAGGGCTTGGGGGGGTGCCAGGTGTCTGGACATCTCTGCTCTCCTGCCCAGGTCACCTCCCACTGCACTCCCCTCTGTCGCTGGTCTTTCCATCTTCCCATCTCTCTCCCCTTTCGTTCTCGGGGGCTGGTTGGTTCCAAGCTGCAGAGGTCTTCAGTTAGGTCGGAAACGCCCATTCTTGCCCTGGGGCTGATGCAGACCACAAGTGGCTCTTCTGGAAGCAGCTGGCACTGTGAGGGGCAACGGGTCCCCAGGACCTGCAGGTGATTGTAAGATGATTGTAAATAGTTCAGCCAACTCAGCATCTCCTGACCTCCTCCCCCAGCCAATGTTCCTGATCTCTGCAGAGCCCCACCCCCCACCCCCTTAGGGACAATGGGCTCATAGCTCTATAGGCAGGATTTTCAGCATCTCTGCAGCAAGGTGACTTATCAGACCTGGACACCTGAACCTGTTAAGGGCATCTAGGAGCACCCTCCTGATGGCCTGGCAAATGCTCATCATTAAAGCTGCCTTGGCAAGGACACTGCTGCTGATCCTTCACCCTATTCCCTTTACCAAAGGGGTCACTGACCTGTGGTCTGGCTTGGAGGAAGCCTGACTTTGGCGAGGGGCAGTGCAACCTTACTCAGGTGCTGCATACTGGGTGCTGGGTTACCAGAGATGGGTATCCTGTAGTCTGAGGTGCTCTCCAGAGGGCGGGGATGCAGGGGATGGTTCTTAGGACGGGATAGCTGAATGGATAGACAGAATGGAGATATGAGATTAGGCAGGAGAACAAAAATACATGGGAACCCCATTTTCTTGTTTTTTAATCTGTTTTTTCAATTTTACAAAAATGTATTTTCTCTTTCTCCTATCTCTCCCTACCTCACCTGTTTTCTTAATATTTTAACAACTGCATTTCAACAAAATTAATTTCCTTTATAACTCTATATATTTTATTTCATGCCTTGAAAAACATTATGAGAAGGGGTCCATACACTCTGGAGAAAGTCATGGAGGGAAGAGTGGAGATGATTGTCCACATTCTACAAAGGGCAACATTAAAGTGAAAGAGTTTCCCAAGGATTTGATTTTGAGCAGTTTGGGATAGAAATAAGAATTTAAGATAGACATCTCCTGACTCTCAGTCCCCTGTTCAGCTGAGTTAATAAAACATGGACCTGAGGTTTGGTTTTTTGGTTCTCTCATCTGCCCTAAACCCCCCACTACAGAGAGGAAGGAGATCCTGAGAGAAAGAAAGAAAAATAGAACCCAAACACGCACAGCCAAACAGAACAAATTCCCACATTGGCCATACCCCCAAATATGTCTCATTCTGCACCTTGAGTCCATCATTCCTCTGCCAGGAGATGGATAGCAAGCTCTATTTTCAAGTTGAGGGTTACTCTACCAATTGAGGACTCTGCTTGGTACATAAGGGGAAAGCACGTGAGGTACAAGGCACTGTCCAAATGGGGAGGAAGAGTTGAGAAGTCATGGTTCTTAGGTGTCTGTCAATCCCCCTTGTCCTGGGTTGGCCAACTTTTAATCAGCAGAGCAAACATATTCCCATGAGGCAGAGTTTCTAGGGGTAAGTTTTCCAAAGAGTGATGCCTTTCTGTCTGATCTCACTATAATTGTGGAATGAGGGACAAGATGGGATGGTGTAAACAGTATCTCATAGGGCTGTAGAATGAGCTGGGAGAAATCTACGCCCAGGGCCAGGGCCCCATTGAAGTCTCCCTATATTATTGCATTGACTTCATGACCCAAGACCCTGTGGAGTAAAAGACCTTGGGATACCATCCCATGGAGGTGGGAGACAAAGACCCTGAGATACTAGGGAAGGGAACAGAGAGGACCTGGGCTTAAGAGGAGCCTAATGGTAGTCATGCAGGGGAGAGGTCAGGGCTAGCCTTCTATTTTACCTAATTATTCTTGCTAACCAGGTGCTAAGTTCAGTTGTTTCTACCCCTCTAAATTTAGAGAGGGCACCCTGGATGAAAGCTCAGATTGCCCTACCCTAGTAATAATTCTGTTCAGATTGCTTCTCATGGAGTTCAGGGTACTTTCCTCAAGAGACTACTAAAGCTCCCACCCCCTCCCAGGAATCTGAACATATGTCCTTGGGGCTGAATCCATCTCAAAATGAGCCCAACATCTATCACCTCCAGGATGGGCCTCCTGAAGAGGTCTGTGGAACATGTGACCATGGAGCTGGAGAGGGGGAAGCTGGACTGTCTGCAGTTTTCTCTAGACAGTGCAGCAGTAGTCTGCCGACTAGGGCCCCTCTGGTCTTACCCCCTGTCCTGTGACCTCAAAGGACCTGGACCTCCGCTTTCTCTTCTTCGCTTCTAGTGATTCTTCCCTTTTTTTACCCAGGCTCTTCTTCTGGCCCCGGAGCCAGAGACCTGGGGCATCGCCATGGCATCTGGCCACCCGCGACGGGGTCTCCCCAGTGCTGCTGGACAGATTGTCTTCACTGACAGTGTGCTGCAGCATGGGGCTTGGCGGGCGCTTACAGGCAGGTGGGGGTGGTGGGGGGCCATCATCTGCCGCACTCAAGGAGTGTAAGGACAGACTGCTTGGCTCCATCATCGGGGCCAGCAGCTGGTGCCTCTCTGGGCCCAGCACCCGTGACCTCCGCCTGGCTGCTTTCACCACAATGCTCTTGGTGCCGGACAGGATCTCCTTCCTCTCTGTAGTGGGGGGTTTGGGGCAGGAGAGAGAACCAAAAACCAAACCTCAGGTCCATGTTTTACTAACTCAGCTGAACAGGGGACTGAGAGTCAGGAGATGTCTATTTTAAATTTCTATTTCTATTCCAAACTGCTCAAAATCAAATCCTTGGGAAACTCTTTTGCTTTAATGTTTCCCTTTGTAGAATGTGGACAATCATCTTCACTCTCCCCTCCATGACTCTCTCCAAAGTGTTATGGACCCCTTCTCATAATGTTTTTCAAGCCATGAAACAAAATATATAGAGTTACAAAGGAAACTAATTATATTGAAATGAAGTTGTTAAAATATTAAGAAAACAGTTTCCCAGGTTTCCAAACGACTTGGTAGTCCATTGACCCCAGGTTAAGAATCTCTGCTCTGATGTGACTGGAGATGGGTTAAGAACTGTGAACTTGGTGGGAGAAAGGGGCCCAAAGAATTCAAGGCAACCCAGGTAATCAGCAGGGTGGGGGTGGTGGGGCTAACTCACCTTTGTGGGACACAGGGATCTCTGGGAAGTTCTCGCTGCTCTCAGGGGATGAGTTGATGTGACTGCTGTCCTGGGGTAGGTCCTGTAGGTGAGCAGGTGGGAAAGAAGGAGTCAGGAGAATAGTTAAAGGGCCCCTGACTCTAGGGCCTCATTCTGATGCCATACGGCAAGGTGCTTTGGGACTCACCTCCTGAGAAACCATGCCATTGATCTGGATGGGTGGTGGTGTCAACACAGCTGAACTCTTTGCTTGCCAGGCCCGGGGATGGGGACTGGCCTTAAACACCTTGTTAACATCACTGTGGTTAGGAGAGGAAAAGAAGCAGATATTCGTTATCCCTACCATATTCAGAAATGAGTTGGTACTCCGTAGCCATAGGTTCTCATCCCCTAGTGCCCCAAGCTCAAGGAATTATAGATTCCTGTTGGGTTAGGGGGAGGTTGGCTACCCACGGATAGAATCCAGGAAGGCTTACCTCTCCGTCCCATGCTTATTCTGTCCTCGGTTGCAGAACAATCCAAGGCCTCCCCCAAGTCCTAATTCATGGTGTCACCACCCAGCCTCAGCCACCCCAGGGTCAGAAGCCCCACGGGCTTTGGGGACAGACTCTACAGGGCTGGGATCTCCAACCTCACCTCTCCAGGTCCCCCACACTGAGAGGTGGGAGTATGCCCTTTTGCCATTCCTTCCGCGGCACCAGCTGGGGTTCAGAGCCCAGAGTCTTCACACTCTCCTGATCCGAATCCAGGGCCAGAGTGTTCTCTCCAGGGCCTGGGGGAATTCTGGGCAATGAACTCTCCTGGGTGGTGAAGGGAGAGACATAAAGTGAGAAGACCTGGCCAAGGGAAAGATGTAGCTGGAGTTGACTAACAGCTTTAAAAATATGCGGGCCAGGTTTTCTTCTGAGTGAGTTTGGCCTCTTCCAGGGATAATGGGGTATATGCCCAGGGTCCTGTAATAATAATGATGATAAATCATATATACATAGCACTTCAGAGAACATAAAGTGCATCGTACATATTATCTCACTTGGTAATGAACTTTTCAAGCTATAAAATATTAATATATATTATTATTGTTGTTATTACTAACTCTATTGCCAGGTGTTAAGCATGTATTCTGCTGCTCTCCCTTCCTCCCCTGGGAAGACAGGAACAGGTCTCATTTTGCTGGGGTTGGGGAGTGGGGAGATCCCAGGAGTGATCTGAGCTCCTGGACTCTCTGCCTGGTGACCAGACCTCCTGGACCATCTGACCTTGCACCTGAGGTCTTCAAATTCTCAACAGAAGATAAGCCCCCTCACCCCTAACACTAGAGTGATTCACCAGAGTAGGAGAGAGGCTCAGGAACTCTGAGCCCTGGGTACTAATCCAAGAAATGAGAATGGAAAGACTACTTGAAGGGATATTGGGACCAGAGTCAACCTAGGGGGTTACAACTTGCTCCTCAAAGTGTCAGACAGGAGGCCTCCTCTCCTCTCATCTCCTCAGAGCACCTGCTTGCATCTCCTTGGTTACCCAAATCATTTCCCCTCCTCTTCACCTCTCCCCCATCCCGCCCACCCCCAGTGGTACTCCCACACACCTGCAGGGCCCTGGAGGCTGCCCGGTCCATACTGGCCATCCGATCCAGATTTCCCTCCTCTAGCTCCCGCTGGTACAGCTCATACAGATGCTCCAGGTGGTGAGGGACAGACAGGTTGTAATCTGCCAGGGAGGGGTTCTCTTAGTACCTCAAGCACCTGCCTCCAGGCCTTGGTTCTCAGGCAGAGGCAGATAGTAGGAGGAGGGATAGGTACCCCAGAAATACTGCTTCTGCCCTGGTCCATGGATTCAAGAACTGGAGCGATCAGAATGGAGGGAGGCTTGAGAGAGTAGGGTCAAGGACATGGGGAGCGTGTCAGAGAACCAGGGGTCCAGGGAGTGCTTACGGCTTCAGGGTTTAGAATTGGGGGGAAGGGAGTGTGTAAGCCTGTAAGATGGGTTAAGGAGCGTACCATCGATGATCTGCCGCTGACCCTGGATGATCTCATCACAGAGGCTCCGGTGCTGTTCCAGGCGCCGCATGGCCTCCCGACGGTGGTAGAGGGCACCGTCTCGGATCAGGGCATGGGACTGCATCTCAGTATTTTCCATCTCTAGCTCATGAACCCGGCATAGTAAGCTCAGGATTTCCCGCTGCTCCTGAGAACCAATGCGACGTGGCAGCATCTCCTCCAGCCTCCGGCCCTGGGTTCTCAGATCCCGGCACCTCTGCTCCAGCTCCACCTAAGGGACCCAGGGCCAGGGGTGAAGGGAGAGTGGTGTCCAAAAGGGAAACAACTCTTCCCAATGGACCCATCCCTCTATTTCAATCCTTAATAAGCAAACTCTTTGCACACCCACCCTGTGCTCCATTTCCGGTGAGACAAAGGCTGTGCCTTAGGATTTTAGAGCTAGCAGGAGGGCTAGCCTCTCAAGCACCACCCTACCCCACTCCTCCAGGCCACACACCCTTGAGGCCAGTAACATCTAACCCCGTCCCAGGGACCACCCTATAGATCACCTCTGGGGACATTTCTGCCCATCTCACATAGTAAGGCCTGGAACTGGCCCCTGTGCTGGCTGTGCCCCAGAGAAACTGCCCTCCGCCTTCCTCCCTCATTTCCCCAGGCCTCTGGCTACCTTCTGCTTTCGGAGTTTCTTCTGCTCTTCAACCAGGGTAGCAATGCTGTCTCGGGCTGAGGTCACCTCTGGAGGCTCCAGGATGTCAGGCTGGTCATCACCAGTGTCTGAATCCTTCTCACTGTCATCCTTACTGTATGATTCCTTCCTTTGTTCTTCCTGCCACTTGAGGGTGCGGCGAGATTTCTCCTGCTCCCAGCTGCCCCAGACCAGCCCCCCAGGGAGATACAGGGTATGAGAGCATAGATAGATGGACATGGGACAAGTGGCCCACAAGAGCCATAGAGATCCGAAGGGTGGGACCAGGGGGAGGGTACTGACGATCAGGAGGATCAACACGTCTAAGGGAGTACCATGGGCTAGAACGTGGCTGTATGCTTACTCAGCAATAGTGAGCAGGTGGCGGGAAGTATCGATCTGGATCTCCACGGAGTGGTTCTCCAATTCCAGCAGGAGCCTGCGGACGTCCATCTGGGCCTGGAAGGCACTGATGAGCTGCCCCCGCAGCTGTCCCATCTCCAGCTGCTCAAACTGGGAGCTATGAAGCTGGACCTCAGCTGCCCCAAAGACAAGGAGGGAGGAGCAGTAGTGAGCAGAGCCCAGGGAGAGCCCCGCCCTCTCACTTCCTGCACACCTGCAGCCTCCTTGTCCCTTCCCAAGCCATGTCCCTTTTCCACTTGCCCCACAATTCACAAGAAGCCTTTCTCCATTAACTAACATGGTAATTCCCACCACTCCCACCCCTGCCCAGTCCCCCCGGTATCCCAATTTCTCCATCCCTATGGTAATATTCCAGGGGGACCTTGCACAGCCCTCCCTCACTTAAATCCAATTCATTTGCAAGTGATGGCGTGGTCCTCTTCAAGAACTAACAACAGGGACCTTAGGACAGCTCTAATTTATTACAGCTGTATGTGTCCCTGTGGTTTGTGGCTTGGGTATTTTTCAAACGTAGTGTCTCCTTTCTCCTCTCTCTCATCAATGTCAGGCAGTGCGCACAATAGAAAGAGCACTGGGTTGGGAGTCAGAGGATATGGGTTCGAATCTTGGCTCTGCTACCTACTACCTGGATGGTCTTGGAAAGCCATCCCCTGACCCCCTCCCCTCCCCCCGGTTTCCTCATCTATAAAAAGAGAAGGTTGGATCTTTCTGTAAGGTAGAAGCCCCAGACTCCAAGATGTTTGTCCTGGATGCCAGAGTTGCTCAGAGGCGGACCTCAGAGGCCTTATAATAATAATAATGATAATAACTAAATGCTTTATAATTGTTATCTCATTTGATCCTCACAACAACTCTGGTGTGTGTGTGTGTGTGTATATGTGCCATTATCTCCATTTTACAGATGAGGAAACTGAGGCAAACAGAGATTGAGTAACTTGCCCAGAGTCACACAGCTAGTAAGTAGCTGAGGCTGGATTTGAAGTCAGATCTTCCTGATTCCAGGACCTGTATCAGGACAGGAATCCCCTTATCAATAATACCAACCAGTGGTTTTCCAGACTCCTTTTGAAGCCCTTCCAATAACAGGGAACCCATCGATTCCATTTTGAGCCCCCTCCAAAGACAGGCAGCCATGATGTATCAGATAGAGAGCTGGCCTCCCAGCCAGGAAGACCTGAGTTTGAGGTGAACTTTTGAGACATACTAGCTATGAGATGCTGGGCTTGTCACTGAACCTCTCAGGGCTGCAGGCGACTTGCTAAGACTATAAGTCAGAGAAGGTGCTACCTGCATTGGGAGAGGGAGGTCCCTCATCTGGGAATTCCTTACATCATTGAAATCACAGGTCTAGCCTCCATCCCTCTTCCAATTATCAAGCCCAAATCTGGGCTTTTGGTAATTTCTAATCCCATTGCTCCTTGTGATTTCCTCTGGGGCCAATCATAACAAATTTAATCCTTTTTCTATTGGGTAACCCTTCAATGGCTGAAGACAACTGTCACGTTCCTCCTAAGCCTTTTCTTCTCCAGGCTAAATATCTGGGGTCCCTTTTTGTGAGGGGTAGAAGGGAGTGGAATTTCCTTATATCCTCAGCACTTAGCATAGTCCCTGGCATTCTGACTGGTTGTTTCCAAATAATCCCTATGGGTTATGGTCTTCAGTGCCCTTCCCATTCTGGTTGCCCGCCTCTGGACACAATGCCCTCTGCTGGCATTCTCCAGATGTGGACTGACCATGGCCGTGGGAGTATCCCCACCTTGTCCTGAATTCGATGCTTCTATAGCCCAACACCAAGCAGGATTTGTGGTTATCCTTTGCAAAGCACTTTATACGTATTGTCTGACTTGATAATATGCTTTGCAAACTGTAAAAACATTACCATGTTATTATTGTTGTCATTATTCCTAATACCAGTATAGGATGTCTAGTACCTGTTCCACTTTGACCCTTTCCAGCTCTCAGATCAGGAATTTGCTCTGATTGGTACTTTTCCCTGGGTAAGGCAGTAGAAAGACTTTAACTCATATTAAGCTTGGAGTCTACTTTGAAAAACTCTCACATCTTTTTTTTTTTCCACAGGAACTGCTTCATCCCCTACATGCACAGTTGATTTTCTGAGCCCCAGGATATGTCCTTACATTAATCCTATTAAATCTCATTAGAGCTTGACTCACTTCTTAGCCTTCCGAACCCTTTCTGGATCTGAGTCCATCATTCAACGTCAGCTGACCCTACCAGCTTTGTGGCATTGATTTATGGCATGTTATCTTTATCTTTGTCCAAGTGTAACCTCTCAAGATTGGAAGTTATTTAACTGCTCAGGACCCATTAAATGAGGGGGTTGGGCTATATGATCTCTACTTTGCTTCTATTCTGCCTCTGACAGTCTACGATTCCTGAACACCTAAGAAGAGGCCGTGGCTTAGCACTCCATCACAAATATACAGAGGCTTCTCCTGAATCTGGAACTACATGAGATCTGGGTTCAGATTCTGCTTTGGGCAGTCACAAATCATCAAGTCACCTAACCTCTGAGTTTAGTACTCCTGCTCCTACTCCTACTGCTACTGCTGCTGCTGCTATTACTACTACTTCTAGCTAACCTTTATATAATATTAAAGGTTTGCAAAGTCTTTATGCAAATATCTCATTTTATCCTCATGACAATTCTGGGAGGTAGGTGCTATTATTATTCCCCATTTTAAGATGAGGAAAATGAGGCAGATTGAGGTTGATTGACTTGCTCAGGGTCACAAAGCATATGAGGTAGGATTCAGTTAAGGTCTTCCTAACTCTAAATCCTATAATGCTAATAAATGCTAATAAATCCGCTAATGCTCTATCCACCGGGCTACCTGGCTGTGTGATTTCCCTTTCTGCATCTGTAAAATGGGAACAATAATCTCTGTGGTACCTAACCCACAGGGTAGTTGTGGGGACCACAGGAGATAACGATTGGATGTGTTTTGCATACCTTGAAGCTCTATGAAAAGGACAGCTTTATTATTGTCGTCATTATCCATACCAAATAATGGCCAGATCTGGCCATGATAGAAAGGAAAAGCTTCGCTAGGAAGTAGCTGTCTTTGGGGTGGAATGTGACCCTCTGTCCAGGGGCTCCCCAAGAGCTACACTTAGCCCAGACCACTGATAGATGATCAAAGATAACCAAGGCACAGTATCACCCTCACGCCTCTAGGTACCGACCTTGGATCTGGCGAATGTCTCCCCGCTCACAGGGGCTTCGGACATGGCCCCGCCCACCCTGCCCATCAATCTTGCACTTGAGGCGCTGAATCTCACTGCGCAGGTCAGAGATGATGCTGGTGTACTGAGCAATGTGGTATGAGACATTCAGCAGGTTCTGTTTCACCTGGGGGTGGTGGGAGTGAGTCAGAATCATCTTTGCCTCTTCCCTCTCCTTTGTCCTCCATAGCCAAGGGTCAGCAAGCCCTGCTGATTCTTTCTTTCTGATGACTCTTGAATTTCACCTGGGTTGTAGTGCTGCACCTGAGAGTCAGGCTCTGATCTTTATTAGCTGAATGACCCTAAGTGAGTGAGTTCATGTCTCTGAACCCCTGCTTATTCATTAGTAAAATAATAATAATAAGAGTGGATAACACTTTAAGGTTCTGAAGCACTTTATATATATGCTAGTTCCCTTACTGGAATTTAGCCTTTTTTTTTTTTCTGACTAGGCAATGGGGTTAAGTGACTTGCCCAGGTTCACAGTTAGTAAGTGTGTTATATGTCTGAGGCCAAATTTGAATTCAGGTCCATCTGAATTCAGGGCTGGTGCTCTATCCACTGCATCATCTAGCTGCCCTGGAATTTAGCCTTCTTGAGGGTAGGGATTGTGCCTTATATACACTTAAATTCCTCCATGCCATGATGTGAACTTCTACTCCTCACTCTCACTCACCCCACTGACATTCAATCAGTCACCAAATCTTGTCTTTTCTATTTCCATGACATTTCTGGTATATATTTCCTCCTCTCCCAAGATAACACAAATTTACAGCCATCTCCTCTCCAAATGTTCATATGGACTATTTGTATCCGACCTGTGGTAGAGCCTTCTGAGCCCATCTTGGTCTGATCAGCCACAGTGAGACACACTGTAGCTTGACCCCAACATAGTGATGGCATTTTGGTCATTTTCAAGAATGAAGAACAACAACCATCTCTTCCTTTCTACCCTCATGGGCACCACACTAATTTAGGTCCTCATGACATCTCCCCTGGATTACTGCAATAGCTTCCTATTTGGGCTGCCTAACTTAAGCCTCTGTCCACGTTCCAGTCTATCCTCTACACAGCTGCCAAAATGATTTTTCCTAAACTGTAGGACTGATCATGTCATCTCCCTGATCGATAAACTCTAGTGGTTCTTTATTGCCTCTAGTACCTAATATAAACTCTGTCTGGCAATCAAGGCTTTTTACAATTTGATGCCAACCTATCTTTCCGGCCTTGTTATATATCTTCTTTCTAGTTTTTTCAAACTTTACTACCTTCCTCATATTTTGTGATAAGCTCTACCCATTATTCCACACCCTGGACACTCTTTATCCTGCTTCCATGCTTTTTTTTTTTTTGGTGAGGCAATTGGGGTGAAGTGACTTGCCCAGGGTCACATAGCTAGTAAGTGTCAAGTGTCTGAGGCTGGATTTGAACTCAGGTTCTCCTGACTCCAAGGCCAGGGCTCTATTCACTGGGCTACCTAGTTTCCCCTTGCTTCCATGCTTTTGCCCTCACTTTCCTCATGCCTGGAATGCCCTCCTTCCTTGCCTCTGCCTCTTGGAATCCCAGGTTTATCTCAAGATTCAGCTCAAGTGTCAGCTTCTGTGTGATGCCTTTCTTCGGCCCTAGGTGCTAACTCTCTTTCCTAAAACTACTTTGTATTCGTTGTGTATATATGGTATACATGTCACTCCTCCATTAGAAGGTAAGATCCTTGAGGGCAGGGACTATTTCACTTTTTAAAAATTTTATTAATTCATTTTGATTTATCAACAATCACTTCCATATGCTTTTGAGTTGAAAATTTTTCTCCCCCTTCCTCCCCCCTCCCTGCCCAAGACGGCGCACATCTGGACTATTTCACTTTTGTCTGTGGATCCTCAGAGGTAAGTTGAGTGCCTGGCACATACTAAGCCCTTAACAGATACTCGTTGATTTATGGGCCTGTAGTACACAACCAACCAATCAACAAGCATCTGGGCTACTGTGCTAGGCACTGGGGATGCAAATACAAAAGTGAGACAATTTCTGACCTCAAGGAGCTTACATTCTAATCTAATAGGGGCATATAACATATTCACAGAGAAATACATAGAGGATATATACAAAAGCAGAACCCAGTGATTTGGTAAGGAACCAGTAACTAACAACAGGAGAATCAGGAAAAGTCTCCTGAATGAGGGAACCATTAAGAAAGTGAGGAGTTCTAAGAGGAAGGAGTGAATGAGGAGAACATTCTAGGTATGGGGAACAGGCAGTGAGAGGCGTCAGAATGTTGGGTCCAGAGAATGGCACATAGGCCAGTCTGGCTGTGGTATAGCATGGGTAACAGGGAGTGATGGAAAATCTACCTGGAAAGATGGGCTGGAGCCATACCGTGAAAAGTCTTTAAATGCCTTACAGGAAATATTAAATTTGATCCTAAGATTAAAGGGAAGTCACTGAAGCTTCTCGAGCAGGGGAGCAATGTCTGTGCTACAGTACTATGAATTAGTTTGTTAGCTGTGTGGATGATTGATTAGAGAGGAGAGACACTGGATTGCTGTTCAGTCATGTCTGACTCTTCATGACCCCATTTGGGGTTTTCTTGGCAAAGATACTTCCATTTCCTTCTCCAGCTCTTTTTGACAAATGAGGAAACAGAAGCAAACAGGGGGAAGTCACTTGCCCAGGGTCTCACAGCTAGTAAGTGTCTGAGACCAGATTTGAACTCAGGTCTTTCTGACTCCATGCTCAGAGCTCTTTACCCATTATGCCATCTGGCTGCCCCAAGAGACTGGATATGTGGCAGTAAATCAGGAAACTATTGTAATTGTCCAGGAGAGAGGTGATGAGTGCTTTCACCACTGGTGGTACAAATAGAGAGAAGGGGATGAATGTGAGAGGAGGTGAAATCAGCAAGCAAGACTTGATGACTTTAAATATTGGGGAGGGGTGTGTGTGTGTGTGTGTGTGTGTGTGTGTGTAGGAGACTAAAGAATCCAGGATGACTCCTAGGTTGTGAACATGAATGATTCGAAGAATGGTGGTATCATGGTCAGAAATGGGAAAGTTAGAAGAAGGGTTTGAATTTAGAGGGAAAGATGATGAGTTCTATTTTGTATATGCTGAGTTTGAGATGCCCATAGGACATCTAGGCAGGGATGTCAAACAGGTAGCTGGAGATACAAGACTGAGAGCTGGAAATATAGATGTAGGAGTCATCTACTTAGAGAAGACATTATACTCCAAGGTGAGCTGATGAGATCACCAAGAGGGGGAACATAGAGAAGAAACACGAGCTTTATATACTAAAAATTTGTAGTAGAGGGAAGGAAACAAGGAAGGAATAATGCGAGAAAGAGAAGAGGAAAGAAAAAGAGACAATGGGAATGGTGGGGGGAGATTCAGAAAGAGAATAAGCCAGAAAGAGGAAGTTTAATGCTTTCAGTGGTGAATGGAAGCACTAATCACTAACTTCTGAGAAGTATCCACGCAGTATGGCTTAAAGAGTGGAGAAGAATAAGATTAGATCCAAGGACTGGGGATGGTGCTGAAGAGGCAGAGGTTGATAACAGGGATATTCAGCAGGAAGAGAAGTGGCCAGGCAGGTCAATGGGTCAGGGAACATAAGTAAGGAACTTGATCTTGGGAATGGTTAAGTGGCTGTATCTCACCCTGGTCTTGATATTCTTGGCCCGGCCAGCATAAGTGAGGGTGTTTCGGGACTCCTCAAATGCACTGCTTGCAGGGCTGATGTGGGCAATCATCACTGTCCTACTGTTGCCCCCAAGCGAATCCTACATAGAGGGTCAAGGAGAGGACCTCGTTAGCTGGACAACCATTGCATCTTATCACATCTTGCCAGATGTGAGCAAGCACCTATGCCTGGGTTTCTCCACTGTGGGAATCTCAACCGCTGCCACTCCCCATCTCCCCCTGGCCCCCACTACTATATAGGCTAAAGTATTTATCAAACTTATCAATCCTGTACTGAGAGCTTTAAAATCAGTTCCTTTGCTACAGAAGTAGCTGCCAATCCAGCTCTACTCTAAGACCTTTGGGATCCCTTGGCCTCTACCTCCTTCCTCCTTTCTTCCTCCCCCTTGTCCAGTTCTTGAATGAAAATTTCTTTCTTTTTTAATTGACTGACTACATGGCTAAGGAGTGCCCTTTGTAGAAAGTAGAATGTTAACTAAAAAAATAAACTACAACTTCTCCACTTTGGGCTTTTGATCCCCCATCTATAAAATGAGAAAGTTGGACTAGGGAATCCCTAGCATCCCTTTCAGTTCTGAATTCTGTGATCTTGTGATTATCTTTCCTGGGCTGTAAGGTATTTCATTGTCCTTAGGAATCTGGACTGGGCTTGAGATTTCTTGGGCATAGGGACCTCCCGGATGAAGAAATCACCTCTAGTAATGTAGATTGGCACCTTCTTTTTGACTTTTAGTATTAGTGAGTTGTCTAGAGCACTGAAAGGTCAAGTAATTTGCCCAGAGTCACATAGCCAGTCATGGTCAGACTTGACCTCGGTGGGACGAGCCCAGTTCTCCCTGGCTCCAAGGCTCTCTGTACACTACACCATACTGCCCCTCTGTAGCTCTCCTTGTGACTTCTAAAAAGTACCTTAAAATGCCCTGAAACTGAATGAGCAAACCATGAACAATAATAGCAATGGGATTCAGAGTTTCCTTTGACATAACACAGTATCTTCTGTAGACTGGGCTCCTGACCCTCCAGCTCTCTGCCACTCATGCCCCATTTGGCTTTTGCTGGTACCTTGAGGAGCCGGGTGAGTTTGCTGTCTCTGTAGTTAATATACTTATTATTCCCCTTGTCACTGAGAGCGTTGATGCAGTTGCCCAAGGCCAGCAGGGACCGGTTGATGTGGGCACCCTCCTTCATGCGCTGTCCACGGTTCTGAGTCTGAGGGTCAAGAAGACAAAAGTTGGCTGGGGTGTGGTGGAGGGGCTGAGCCTCTAGGGAGTGGCCTACAGACCGGGAAGGCTGGTGATGTAACCAAGAATTTGATTTCTCCACCAAAGCACTAATGTCCAGCCATGGACATTAGTTCCCTGGACCTTAGTTTCGTTTCCTGGAACACAGAGGATAACAATCTCTATGTCACCAATCTGATAGGGTTGCCATGAAGATAAAGGTAAACAAATAGAAAAGAGCTTTAAAAATATAAATGGGAGGTCTTAGAAGAAGCTATATTTTAATGGAGATTATAATATGTAATATGTAGGGGGATTATAATGAGGAGAGCATTCTGGCCTCAGGACACTTGGGTTCAAATACTGGCTTCGCTATTTTTACTACTTGGGTGACTTTGGGCAAGACACTTAAACTCTCCCATCCATAAAATGGTATGATATTATTTGCCCCACTTGCCACGCAGGTTATAGTGAGGATCCAATGAGATAATTTGTGTGAAGCATTTGGTAAATCTTAAAGTGTCATGAAGGCATCTAGGGGGCGCCATAGTGCATAGAGTGCTAGGCCTGGAATCAGGAAGGCTCATCTTCCTGAGTTCAAATCTGGCCTTAGACACCTACTAGCTATGTGACCCTAGGCAAGTCACTTCACCCTGTTTGCCTCAGTTTCCTCATGGGTAAAAATGAGTTAGAGAAGGAAATGGCAAACCACTCTGGCATCTCTACTAGGAAACCCCCAAAGGGGGTCATGAAAAGATGGACACAATTGAAATGACTGAACAATAACAACAAAAAGGTCTTTTCTAGCTTTAAATCTTAAGATCTTTTGACATTGTAGCAAAATGGTTGCTGAAGAACCTTTCTGGCCTTTGCTATGATGATGCCTAAATGTCATACAGTCTATAATTAGGCCTATACTCAAAGCTGTTTCAGCTTGGTTAAGACCAGTCAGAGCTTGTATAACATTCAAGAGCTCAAGGTCACCTCCACACCTGATCAAGTGTCGGAGGAAGACTAGATGATGTCAGGAAGACCCGAGCTCAAATCTGACCTCAGACACTTACTAACTAAGCAACCCAGGGCAAGTCACTTAACCTCTGTCTCCAGCTTCTTCATCTGTAAAATGGCAATAATAATAGCCCCTATCATCCAGGGCGGTTGGGAGGTTCAAATGAGGTAATGTCTGTAAAGTACTTCGCAAATCTTAATGTGCCATATAAATGCTGGCTATTAGTATCATTACTGTTACCATCACGTTCTCTTTTCTAATAGGGTTTGTATAGAAAGGACCCTGGGACAAGTTGCTCTCCTGCTATTATTTCTATATTCCAAAGGTTATTGTCCAGATGCATAAAATAATTGCTTTTTGTAGTTCAATAAAAGTATGAGGATATAACCTCATCCTCTATTGACTGCCTGAAAGCATCCCAACAGTCCAGTAGCAGACAGGACCACAGCCATAATATATATAACTCATCTTGTACCTACGTGATTTTGGTTTCCTTGTCCAGGTTTCTATATTGTGAAAATTTTTGGTTCCATGTAGCTTAGGGATTATTATGATGCCACTATGATGGCATAATAGATAGAATTGATATTTAAGGTTAGAAAAGTGCTTTACATATATATTGTCTCAACAATACCTACAACAACCCTGTGAGGTAGATACTATTATTATCCCCATTTTTGCAGATGAGGAAACTGAGGCAGTCAGTGGGGAAGTGACTTGCCCAGGGTCACACAGCTAGTAAATGTCTGAGGCAGTATGTGAATTCAGATACTACTACTCTAGTAGAGTCTAGTACTCTATCCACTGCGCCATCTACCAGCCTTTAAAATGTTCTTAAGTTTTTGTGAATTGGTGTTATGTCTAGGCAATTTGGGGCAACAATTCATTCTATGATAATGGTCTAGCTCCAGTACAGTTTATTGGTTGAGTTTTCTGGGATATTTAGAAGTCTATATTTATAGTATTGGGATTTGTTATCTGTTAGTCCACAAAAGATAATAGTGAGCTTCTGACCATTTTAGCCAGCAGGTAAGTATTCAGTGGATATTACATGTTTATAGCTAGTTGTACGGTCTCCACTGCTCCCTTGCATGATCGACATTTATAACTAAGTCCAGGCTCCTTAAGGATGACCTTTCTGTAGTTTCTGGTAGCAATGACCTGGTCCTGAATTGCTGTGATAATCTCCTCTGTTTCCATAAACAAGTCTAGTGAGAGCCATTTGTTCAACACTTTTCTGTTGACATATTGTTGGCTGAGTTCACATGGATGTCCATTATTAAGATTATTAATGTCTAGTTATTATTAATCATCACCATAACATATGCCAAAAAGTCCCAGGGTATAAAGAACAACTTATTATTATCATTGAATAAGCTGCTTGAAAACACAGCGGCATTTATACCATCTTTGCCAATTAATGCAAAGCCTTTGTCTCAGTACCACAGTTAAGACTTATCCATGATCTGCAAATACATAGTCTAGACCCAAGAACAGTTAGAACATTAGATCATTTGATGTTCACATGGAAAATTGTTTTTAATTTAAAACACTTCAACCACCACAATCATGTCAAGAACAATCCATATAAAACATGGCATTTTAAAGGAGAACATTTAAACTCAGTATGTTTATTTGTTTTTCTTTCTCTTTCTTTGATCTTTCTTTCTTTCTTTCTTTCTTTCTTTCTTTCTTTCTTTCTTTCTTTCTTTCTTTCTTTCTTTCTTTCTTTCTTCTTTCTTTCTTTCTTTCCTTCTTTCTTCAATCAGGGTTAAGTGACTTGCCCAAGATCACACAGCTAGTGAGTGTCTGAGACTAGATTTGACCACAGGTCCTCCTGACTCTAGGGCTGGTGCATCACCTAGCTCCCCCTCTACCTAGCTTTCAATCTGCTATCATCTTTTCTAACGAATATGGATATTACTTTAATATTAATGATTTAACAATATCATATTAACAATATAATGATTACATTAATAACAAAATAATATTAATATGAAAGAGTTGAATGTTGGAAGCACACAGCACTCCTCTCTCTCTCTCTCTTTTTCTCTCTTAATGATAATCAGTGTTAAGTGTTTAGCCCAGGGTCACACAGGTAGTGTCAAGCATCTGAGGCCGGATTTGAACTCAGGTCCTCCTGACTCCAAGTGAGAGCTCTATCCACTGTGCCACCCAGCTGCCTCTAAGGCGGATACTTCTGCAAAGTTGTGCAGATATTGGTATTACTATTGTTCTATTTAAGCAAATTTTTAAAAAAAATCTAAACTTTGCCTGTGGAATTTTGTCTTTTGTTTCATGATAACTATAAAACATGGCAAATAATACCTCTCACAGTGGTTGTGAGGATCAAATAAAACATTTGTCAAGTACATGGCAAACCTTAAAGCACTATGGAAATACTAGCTATTATTATTATTATTATTAAACATATGTAGACAGTGTTTGAGTCAGAGAATTCAAATTAGCAGAGGGAAGCTGTCCATTTGGATCTTTTCCCAGTGTTTATATAGTAATACTTGGTCTTTAGGCTAAACTGCAGAGTATGAAGACCTTCCACAGACCAAAACATCTTATTAATCATTTGATGTACATGGACTACATTACAGTATGTGGATCTACCAAAAGAAACATTAGACAGCTCCTTCATTCTGTGGAATATTTCTCCAGTGACATCAAATTATCTTTTGGTCTTGATAAGTATGAAATTCTTAATATACATCAAGGAAAAGTAAAGACTGGAGGCTTCAAGCTTGACCAAATACCTTGGTCTCCTCCGGGTAAGATATATCAAGCATAAAATTATGCTGAATATGTTAAGTGACTCACAGGCACCTTGAAAGCAAAGCTAAATGGAAGAATATGTTTAAAGCAATCCTAAAGTGCCAGTTTTATTGTATACCTTTAGGGCTATAAAGTGTACACTAACAAATGTGGAAAGCAACCTTGCAAAAACCCATATGATATTAAGGAAATGCAATGCCCATCGCTCTAAGTCAACTATAAGAAGATTAAGATTTCCTTATCAAAAAAGTGAGAAAGAGTATTGATAAGCATTCATGTTCAGCCATTTTTCAGTCCTGTCTAACTTTTTGTAATCCCTTTTGGGGTTTTCTTGGCCAAGATACTGGAGTGGTTTGCCATTTCCTTCCCCAGCTCATTTGAGAGATGAGGAAACTGAGGCAAACAGGGTTATGTGACTTGCCCAGGGTCATATAGCTAGTAAGTGTCTGAGGCCAGATTTGAACTCAGGAAGAGGAATCTTCCTAACTCCAGGCTTGGCGCTCTGAGCCCTGTGGCACTACCTAGCTACCCTAATATTAATCTATAAAAATTTAAGAACTACTTTTTTTTTTTAAGGCAATCAGGGTTAAGTGGGTGTCTGAGGCTGGATTTACAACTCAGGTCCTCCCAACTCCAGGGCCAGTGCTCTGTCTACTGCACTACCTCGCTGCCCCAAGAACAGCTTTTAAAATAGATATCACCATACCAAATACTTACTTGCCAAACTGCAAAGAATGGAAAAGTTTCCAAAAGACAGAGATCTCCTGGAGAAAATTGGGGCAGAGAATGAAGTTGTGGCCTCCCCTTATCCTGGCTGCTATTGGAGCTGTACCAAGGATGCTTTCAGGGAGCCTACAAAGCCAGGGGCAGGAAGGGGCAAATCTTAGCCTTTTTTGTGTCCAGGACCCCTTTGGAAGTTTGGGCAAACCCATGAATCCTTTCTGAAAAGAACCTTTTATTTTGTCTGTTTTTTAATCCATAATTGAAATAAGTGCCAAATTCCAGTGAGAGAGTAATGAAAACCAAGAAACAATGAAAAACAAAAAATAATGAAAACAAAGGTTTTTTCCCCCCAGGTTTATAGATCCACCCTGAAATTGATGCAAGTTTAGAAATTAGGCTAGAGGGTGAGCTCACATCCTAATACTGTTATTCAGGTACAACAAGCAGTTATTCCATCTGCCTGTGCAAGAGCTCAGAGAATATGAAAATAAAGGAGAAAGAACAAGGCAGTGACTTGTCCCAGGGCTATTTCTATCCGAACTCATGGGGAAAAAAAGAGTAGAATGCTGATGATGGCCGCTAGATGATGATCACCCCCACCCCTGCCACCATGACGATGATGATGAGGAGGATAACCCCACCACCAACTCAAGGCACGTGGGCTACCCAGCTTGATTTTTTAAAATTGTGAATGGGAGAAAAGCTGGGGACAGAAAACAAGGCACAGTCATTGACTTGGAGCACTAGGTGGCGCTCCAAACTACAGGAAATCTAATCAGGAGGAAGGGAGGGGAAGGCAAGCTGCCACTGGGGCAAGGGAGTGGGATGGTGGTGCAGGGGATAGAGCAAGGGTGGGGAAGCTGCAGCCTCGAGGCCACATGTAGCCCTCTAGGTCCTCAAGTTATGTGGCCTTGAGGATGCAGGTTTCCCTCCCTTGCTCTAGACTGAAGAAAATGATGTGAAAATATGAATAATGCAGATTAAAATTAAATGTCTTTTTTTTTTTCTTTTTGAGAGCCAGTTGTTAAACATTCACACCCCTGGACTTCCCCCATCTTCCCTCCCCTTACAATAAGCTTTCTTCAGGGTCTACGTTTCCCCAGACCACAGGAGGAGGCTGCCCTATGTCCCATGGCTCTTCCTGCCATAGTCATCTAAATAGCTTCTCTCCCATCATCCAAGCAACTCCAGAAATTCTAGCTCCTGCAGGAAGCTTCCGCTGCTACCCTGTCCAAACACGAAACTCTAACGATTCTCCCCCATCCTCCTCTGTACTCTCTCTGGCATTGCCCACAATGTCAACACTTACTCCTCAGGCCTTGTCTAGATTTCCTCTGTGTTTACCTACATCAGGTGGTCCTGCCCTAAGACTTTAAGTCTTTTAACAACGTTGGGGCTGGGTCTAAGTAGCTTACTCTATGTGTCAGTGGAAAAGAGTGTAAGCTTCCTGATAAGTGACCATGATGGTGAGTGAAGTGAAGATTATTATTAATTTTCCTTTCTACTGGGTGAGTACAACTTGGAGCCTTCTCCCGGGAGAGTGGCTTATTTTTTTTTTGGGGGGGGGAGGAAAGGCAATTGGGATTAAGTGACTTGTGCAGGGTCACACATCTGATAAGTGTCAAGTGTCAGAGCCAGATTTGAACTCGGGTCCTCCTGACTCCAGGGCCAGTGCTCTATCCACTGTACCACCTAGCGGCCCATGAGAGTGGCTTTTCTGAAGGCAGTCTTATCCCTACCCCCATGCCACAGAAAACCTTTGCTCCCACTTCTCCCCATCCACTTTTCCCACCTCCTGCTCATCCTCTCACCTGGGATGCCCGCTCGGAGCCAGCCAGGTCTATCATGAAGAGGCGGCCCAGCCGCACCTCTTGCATGACATTCTTGACCCGGCTCTTTTGACGCACGGTCACTTGGAGTATGGCATGGGACCGGGAAGACGTCTGGTTGGCGGCCGTAGGCTCCTGGGTCCTCTGCTTGTTCCCTTTCATTAGAAGCTGCATGATCTGGAGATGAAGAGGGATGGGGAGTTGGGAGAGGGAAAAGTCTCAGACTCCTGACCCACTCTGGCAAACCCTCCAAGGCAAGGAAAGCTTCCCTAACTGGTCCTCACTTCCCATCTCTTAGGAACCTGGTGTGCAGAGGGCACTGTGCTGGGGGCTGGAGCTGATGTGAGATTAGGGAAGACAGTCTTTGCCCCTGTCGGTCTTATGAAGAATTCACAGAGGGGCGGCTAGGTGGCACAGTGGATAGAGCACCGGCCCTGGATTCAGGAGGACCTGAGTTCAAATGCGGCCTTAGACACATAACACTTACTAGCTGTGTGACCCTGGGCAAGTCACTTAACCCCATTGCCTAACCAAAAAAAAAAAAAAGAATTCACAGACTAACAGTAGGGACAGAGGACATGGGTGGTGTTAGTGGAAAATGTGCTGATTTTGTAGTCAGAGGTGCTGGGTTCAAATCCTAGCTCTGCCATTTGCTAACTGTCTGACCTTTAGCAAGTCAGCCTCTCTGGGCCTCACTCTCTGACACTATGAAATGAAGGTGGCCTCTAGAGTCCATTCCAGCTATGATAATAACAACAGTAATAATATAACATTTACATAGTGCTTTAAAGTTTGCAAAAATGATACAAATATATGTTATATGTTTCTATATTTTACCTTATCTGATCCTTACAATAACCCTGTGAGATAGAGGCTAGTTTTATCCCCATTTTATAGATGAGGAAACTGAGGCTTCAAGAGGTATTGTAACAATAACAATAATAATGATAACTAGTGCTTTAAGTTTTGCAAAGTGTTTACAAATATCTCATTTTTTACAACAACTCTGGGAGGTTGGTGGTACCATTATCTCCATTCCACAAATGAGGAAACTGAGTCAGATAGAAGAAGGTTAAGTGACTTGCCCAGGGTCACACAGCTAGTAAGTGTCTGAGGCCAGATTTGAACTCAGGCCCCTGTGACTCCAGGGTTGGTGCTCTGTCCACTGTGCCACCTTGCTGTCCCAGGTTTTTTTTTTCTCTTAGCTACTTATAACATGGGAAAACTATTTGTTTCTTCATCTTTTTCCTGGGGATCCCTGTGAGGATTGGATCAGACAAGAGATGTTAGAATTCTCTGGAAGTAAGGGAGACATAGAAAGCCAAGATTCCCCTTATGTAGATATCCCAGCCCTGGTTAGGTTTCTGCATGGCTGCCTCAAGCACCAGACACCAGACCATCCTACCAGGCAGCAGCTTCCGAGGGTCCCTTGACCCGAGGGAGTGAGCCTTCCCTTTCTCTCTGCCAAAAACTTACCTCTTTGGCATTGATGGTGGAAACCTCAGTGATCCCGGCCACCTGGATCACGCCCTTGGAGTCCTCTCTCAACTCTAGGTACCCCAGGGAAGGATTCAGTAGATCCCTAATCATTTCATTGTAGATCTGATTGGAGGAAGGAGAGAATATTGGAAGAAGGAGGGCAGACAACAAAGGCAGGAGCGAGGGTCCTCATCACCCATCAGACCAGAGGAGAAACAACCTGCGCTGGAATCAATCAAGTACTTATTAAGCACCTACTATATCCCAAGCACTGTGCTAGGTGTTGGGGATGCAAGGGACAGATAATATGAAGGGACAGATTTCCAAAGGAGCTTTATGGGTCCTTGGTATTCCAAGGAAGTACATTACTCAAAATGGAGAGAGGGTATCAGTAGACTGAGAAGAAGGACAGTTGGTAATAATGGGATGCCCTTCCCAGAGCCCAGGAGGCTGGATCCCTAGACAAGGTATCTGTGGTACAGGCCATAGCTACTCTCTTCTTCCTGGGAAAATATGAACGGCATAGGTTTCCACCCAGATCCCTGGGCATCTATTCAATGGTTCTCTGCTACCTCTAGCAAAGGTGATCTGAAGAAGAAAGACCCTGCCAAGGACTAGGGTCACCCAAGGGAAGATCTAACAGCTCATTGCTACATTTCTGGGTTATTCTTTGCCTCCCCTCCTACCATTCCCATTCTGCGAGCAAACACTGTACTAGCCAGCATAAACAGGTGATAGATCTAGTTCGCTGTTCTTCCTTCCCTAATCATAATAGCTTACATTTACACAGTGCTTACTATGTGCCTGGCACCGTGCTAAGCGCTTTACAATGATTATTTTATTAGTGCCTCACAACAACTCTGGGAAGATGCTGTGATTGTTATCTCCATTTACAGATGAGGAAACTGAGGCAGACAGAGGTTAAGTGACTGGACCAAGGTCACACAGCTGGTATCTGAGGTCTTCCTGACTCCAAGCCCAGCACTAGACTGTACTAGAGGTGCTGGGAAGCCTGGTAAGTAGAGCTATTACTAGCAATTTTTGCACCTGATGCCAGGAATACAAAACATGCCCAGGACAAATGGCATGAAACATGTCCTCAAATCCACTATTTAAGAACAAGTCAGTTGTCAGGAGTGACAGAGACCCCAGGATGAGAATGGGCTGAGAGGAGCTCACTTGAGGTGCTACTGCCAAGTGGAAAAAGATTCCATCTTATTGCTTCCTATTTTAATTATTCTTGCTACCTAGGTACTAAGCTCAGTTGTTTCTAAGCTGATGTCAGTGTCCTCTAAATTTTAGAACCCTGTGTCAAAACCCCCATCACCCCTCCTTAGTTACACCTGTCCTTAGTTCCAGCTCTACAGAGCAGTCACAACTCACCTGTTCTCAAGAATGACTTCTCATATTCCTCCTTGCACACATCATACTGCTCTCTTAATCCCATCACCACATGCCCACAACAGAGGAAGATAGTGCCAGGTGTACTAGGCATATAGAAACTCCCCCCCCCCCCCCACAGATGATACTGCTACACAAAGACACACTTGGATAAATGGCCCACATTTAACAGTCATCCAAATTAAGTCATAATTTGTTTCTGGAGAGAAAAAAGATACGTGGACTCCATTCATTAAAAGACAAGGAGTGCTTCCAAGGAATGGTTTGGGGGTCAGTGGGTCAGTAGATATGTTAGTTATCAGTGTGACCCAGTAATTTCCATACTTATTTAAAAGGCCACTACATTTGCTAAAGTTTGCATTCACTCTAGGTGGGAGAGGGGGAAAGGAAAGGACAGCGGGGACATTGGGAACTGATATCTGGCTTAGCATCTCCCAGGGCAATGGGGCATGTCCCTGGGGGCTGTGCACTTCACACTAGCCCTGCTTCTATTCTTTCAAAGTGAGAGCCTATCAGAATGAAGGGAGAAGTAGAAACAATTGTCTGTCCATACTCTAGGAAACTGCAGTGGGACATAGGCTGGGCTGCTTTCAAAGGATTTTCCTACCCTTCTCGTGGGCCAATCAGTGCCTTACCCCTACTCAAAATTCCAAGTATAGCCCCACTAGGATGACCTACCTCTAGGTAGGACATGGACACCTCATATTCCATGTCATTACTGGTCTCCTCAATGGCACAGAATAGGTCGTTGAGGGTCCGAACGTAGATGCCGGGCTCATGATCAGTGCCCAGCATGGTGTAGGTTTTCCCACAGCCTAGAAGCAGGAAAGGACAGTAGGTGAGCAGGGGGTTATAGGGCATGTGACATTGCTGGAGAGGGCCACACCTGGAAGATTTCTCCCCAGGGAAAACTCCCTCCTGTTCTTGCTCTGAAGGCTCTATCCGAGGGGCAAGCATCCTGTCCCTTCTTGGGGAGGGGTCATTGAGAGGCTATTGAAAGGCAAAGGTGTAGACTCCTTTTAGATCCGTGTGGGTGGGAGAAGGAGGGGTCTTCTGGGATGAGGTGGCTCTGGGTGAAGATGGGGGTGGGACATGGAGCTCATGATGACTTAGGCTTACATTTAGCCAAGCCATTCCTGCGATAGTGAAGTGGGGTTGTCCTATAAAACTCTTGCTTATGGGAGTTGGATGATCTCCATGTTAGGGAGTCAGGTGGGCTGAAAAGGGGGGCTCTTTCTGTTCTGGACAGGACTGGGGAGTCAGAAGTCAGGTGCTGAGCCAGCCAGCTCACCAGTGGGGCCATAGGCAAAGACAGTGGCGTTGTAGCCAGAGATGACCCCTTCAATGAGGCTCTTCGTGGTGGCTTGGTAAACCATCTCCTGCAAAGAAAGGGAAATTGGGGGTGTGAGGGCTTCAGGAGGCAGAATATGCCCAACTCCCCACTATAGAAAGCAATTTCTGTTTCTGGGCCCTGCCTAGCCTAAGATTGTTAGACTCTGGAGAGGTGACACCAAGGAGGTGAGGAAAGAGTCTCTTTACTTTTAATTCATTAGGGATGCCAGCTTGGGACAGAACTCAGGACACCAGCTGGCTCCTCCAGACTTCTCCTGGCCCCCTGCCCAGCTGTTGCCTTATAACAGATACCAGGGATAGATATCCTGAAGGTGAGCCAGGTGGCGGTATCCCCAGGAGAGCATCAATTTTCTCAGGTCCATCCTACCATCTGGGTTAATCTAGTGGAGTCTCAGACTTCTTTATCTCAGAAGGGAACCAAATGTGGGTCCCACAGCACTTGCTGACATTCATGGTTGTTGAGTGGAGGGGTATGTATACATGCATGCATGCATGTAATGGTCTGTGAATGAGCATGCTATATAGGAAACACATGTGGACATGCACATATGCATGAGTGAAGAAAGCCGCACCCTTTCCAAATAAGGACTGAAGCGGTTTCTAATAGTTGTCTACAGAGACCCAGGCCTGAGTGATGGCCTCTGGGGGACAAATACAGACCCTTTCTTTATTTTGGTCCTATGTTAGTCTCTCCCATCCCTGGCCCCTCACCTGAGTGGCAGTGAAGTCAAAGGCCACATCAAATAAGTAGGACTTCTCCCGGGATCTGTGAGCTCGAAGAATGTCATCCGGATCCTCCATTGGGTCCATCAGAACCACCATCTGCAAAAGCCCCAGAAGTTGTCTGGAAGGAGCCACTGAGAGCTGGTGGGGGTCCTGTGGCCAAGGTGTCAGGAATTGGTACCTCCTTATTTCTGGGGCAGGCTAGGGAATCACTGGGCTGCTAGGTGGCATAGAGGATAGAGTGCCAGGCCTAGACCCGACAGGAAGACCCAAGTTCAAATCTGGTTTCAGACATTTACTAGCTATGTGACACTTAACTCTGTTTGCCTCAGTTTCCTCATCTGTAAAATGAGCTAGAGAAGGAAATGGCAAAAATCACTCCAGTATTTTTGCCAAGAAAATACCAAATGGGATCATGAAGAGTCAGACGTGACTAAAACGACTGAACTACAACAATAAGGGAATAACTAGATTGGACAGCTGGTGGGGGGGGTAAGGGTGAAGTTGGCAAGAGCTAGGGAAAAGGGGTCAGAAGCTGGGTAGGAGTTTTTCTTAAAGGGGAGTGACAGAGGGAATTGGGTTTCCTTAAGTTTCTCTTGCACTACTACATCTCTCTGTACAATTTCTTAAATTTAAACAACAGAAAAAAAGTGAAGCAGGGAATTTTTTCAGTGTATGGTACTTTTAAAAATTACATCCTTATCTATGATCTCATCTTAACTTCTCAAAATTGTGATTCCTACCAACTTTTTGTTTGCCTTCTGGACCACCTGCTTATCCCTAGGGCATCTGTTCTAGAGTTGTTCATATCCTCAAAATAAGAAAAGGTTGGGAAGAGAGGAAGGTAGCTGAGGGCCAGGCTTGGGGTGGGGAAAGGCTCCATTCCTTTGCTCCCCAGAGCCTACCTTCACTCTCTGTCCTTTGCTCATAGATTCTAAGGTTGTATTTGTTTTACAGGGCAGACTCTTAACACCATTAATGTCCACTTCATGCCGGATGAGACAAGACACACACATGAAAGTGATACAAGAACGTATACAAAGGCATTATAAAAAGAAGCACAGATTAGGCAAGTAATCCTGGCATCCTAGGCTCCCTGCCCAGGTAGCATTGCCATGGAGATGGAAACTCCAACAGATGCTATCCCAGAATTCACCAGTTTGGTGACATCTTTTTGGACTTGTATTTGAAGATTTCTGAGAAGAGGGCGCTGGTGGAAAAGAATCCAATTGCCATAATGTGCCCTGAAGAAGATAGTGCCACTGGTGGGATTGAACCATGTCTGATGTCTAGAGCAGAGGTCTCATGTCCCTTTTCCCAGGACCCCAGTAGGATATTTCAATAGGACTGTGGCACTGTGAACTGATGGGGTACTTCTAACAAGCTCCTTTCTCTCTCTCTCTCTCTCTCTCTCTCTCTCTCTCTCTCTCTCTCTCTCTCTCTCTCTCTCTCTCTCTCTCTTTGTCTCTCCCTCCCTCTCTCTGTCTCTGTCTCTCCCTCCCTTTCTCTGTCTCTCTGTCTCTGTCTCTCTTGCTCCATCAGCCGAAGATGAGGCAAGAGAAGGCTGACCACTGCCTGCAGCCAAAGTGGCCAGAAGAGAAGGCTGACCACTGCCAAAGTAGCCAGTTTCGTTACTTATCTTCTGATTGAATCCACCTCTCCCCCTTCTATTGTCATGTATATCCTTTAGCTGATCATTAACAATGAAAATCTGGTGGCTGCCAAATCTTTTTCTGATATGATTGATGCTGGTTCAGGTAGAGATTTGGTTTTTGTGGGTTTTTTGTTTTTTTTTTTTAGGCAATTGGGGTTAAGTGACTTGCCCAGGGTCACACAGCTAGTAAGTATTGAGTGTTTGGTCTGAGGTCAGATTTGAACTCAGGTCCTCCTGACTTCAGGGCCAGTGCTCTATCCATTGCACCACCTAGCTGACCCTCAGGTAGAGATTTGGGAAGAAGTTATGACCCCTTTAGAGAGATAGGAGACACAACCTTGTTTCAGCTCAGGCTAAGGCATACAGGGGAGGAACAGACCCTAGTCGTATTTGGAAGTTTGCATGAAAGAAAGATCTACAAGCTATCATATGCCTTGGCAAGCACAAGATTCCAACCACAGGAGAATCTATAAGCAGAGAGCCACAATTATATGTGTGTGTGTGTGTGTGTGTTGTTCAGTTATTTTCAGTAATGTCTCATTCTTTAGGAACCCATTTGGGGTTTTCTTGGCAAAAATACTGGATGGTTTTCCATTTCCTTCTCCAGCTCATTTGACAGGTGAGGAAACTGAGGCAAACTGGGTGAAGTGACTTACCCAACGTCACACAGCTAGTAAGACAGGGAAGATAAATCTTTCTGACTCTAGGCCCAGCACTCTATCCACTGCACCACCTAGCTGCCCCCCCCAATATATATGTGCATACACACACACACGGGTATGTATACATACACACTCATGTGTACGTATGTATATACATGTGCACATACATGTACATATACACACAGAGATAGATAACCTCTAGAACCAAGTCCAGACAGTACCAGCCTCCTGTAGAATGATTGTGCTCCGTGAATCTGGTACTACCCTTCATAGTCAGTCAGTCAATAAGCCTTTATTAAGGGCCTACTACATACCATGTACTGCTAAGCACTAGGGATGCAAAGAAAGGCAAATGACAGTTCATCCTCTCAAGGATCTCTCAGTCTAGTGGGTAAATGGTACCATGAAATACCACATATATAGCACTTACCCCTTCCTTGTGTTTTTCTCTTAGAAAAGTTAAATTTTAGATAGACTTTGGAAGGAAGGGAGGAGAGAGAGGCCAGAGAGGCTGCATTCCTGTTCCTTGTATCAGTATCACAATGACTAGATAAGGTACCCAAATGCTAGTGTTGTTATATTCCTTCACCTGCGGCTGAAATTCAGTCCTATAGCAAGCCCAGGCCCCTTCCCAGTGACCATCTCAGGGGGTTCTTCTGAGACGAAGCCCAGGCCTGCCCTGCCTCTCCCTGATGAGGTGAGGTGGCAGCTGACCTATGCCCAGGAGCTGGCTTAGCTCTCCAGGGCTCTGGCTGGGGCACAATTAATGGGGATAATAAGTGTCTGGCTCGCTGTACTTGAGTTGTAATGAGCCTGCCAGATAGCTTCCTGAGGGCATGTGATTACTGAAGGGAGACCTGGGCCTCTCCCAGCACCTTGGGCTGTCCCTTCCCTACCTTGGTCCCTTCTGAGTCCTGCTCTACCCTTCATCTTCCTCATCAATGAGAGCTAGATAGCAGCAGCAGCCCTTCCCCTCCTTGTCATGCCCACAAACACACATCTTGGGGCCCTAATCCTGTGCTGTTTTTCCTTTTCCCACCCTGTTGCTGTTCAATGACTTTTCAGTTGTGTCTGACTCCTCGTGATCCCAATTGTGATTTTCTTGGCAAAGATACTGGAGTGGCTTGCCATTTCCTTCTCCAGCTCATTTTACAGATGAGGAAACGGAGACAAATGTGGTTAAGTGACTTGCCCAGAGTCACACAGCTGCTAAGTGTCTGAGGCCAGATTTGAATTTGGGAAGATGAGTCTTCCTGACTCCTGGCACTGCACCACCCCAACCTAGTGGCTCTATAAAAGGTAGAGTGGTGATGTGAGGGAGTGTTGCCTGATGTTTTTTTTAACTCATGGCAATTATGATAGTCCAGAGAAAGAGTTGAGCCCCTGTTATGTATAAGCAACCCCAGAACCTGCTGCCTCGAGGCTACATGTGGCTTTCTAGGTCCTTGGGTACAGCCTTTTGACTGAGTCCAAGTTTTACAAAACAAATCTTTTTATTAAGGGGATTTGTTCTCTGAAGTTTGGATTCAGTGAAAGGGTTACACTTGAAGACCTACAGGGCCACATGTGGCCTTGAGGTCGCAGGTTCCCTACCCCTGGTAGTGTATACTGGGTATGGGGAGGAGGGGAGGATTCAATTCCATTGAAAGGTTTGTTAAACACTTACTTGTTCTACCAGGCTATGGGGGAAAATGAAAGTCCCTTCTTTCAAGGAGCTCACAGTCTTTCTGGGGACATCAAGGTTCATACAACAGAGTGAAAGTAATAGAGAGGGGACTCCCAAGGAAGGAAGTCAGCTGAAGGTCACTGTCCTCTAAGGCTCCTAGGCAAGCGGTCTTAACTGTGTTTCTGTCAATGGTCAAGTCAGGCAGTCTGGTGAAGCCCATGGACCCCCTCCTCGGAAGAATGTTTTTAAATGCATAAAATACATGAGATTACAGAAGAAACCACTTATATTAAAATAAAGATATATTTTCCCTCTTATTCAAATTTACCATACCCCTGAAATCCAACCATGGCTATGATTAAGGACCCCTCTTCTAGCTCAATTCCAAGACAATAGAACATACATGAAAAGGCCTTAAGAGCCCTCAGAAACGCAACACAGAAAAAAAAAATGCAAATTGACTAAGGATTGTTGTAGGCAGGTGTGTTTGGCCTCAGGCTCAACCAGGGAAGGCTTCCAGCAAGGGATAAATGTTAAGTTTCCATCCTTTCCCAGAGGCTGCCTCCCACAGAGAGCTCTAGAGAGCATAGGGAGGATGAGACAGTGGTGGGGTACCAGGAGCAGACTGTGAGATAGCCAGAATGTGGGATTTGGAGGCAAGACTCCTGAAGAACTCTCAACCTCCATCTCAGACTGCAAAGCACCTGGTCCTCTCTGCCTCCATCACGCCTCAACTGCACGTGGCTTCCCTGGCTTCCTCCAAGACTCAGCTCAAATCCCACATCGTAAGAGATGCCTTTCCTGCTCCCTCCTCCTGCCCCAAGCCGGTCCTTTCCCTCTAAGTCTACCTTCTATTTACACTGTATATATATTTTGCGCGTATATATAAAAGTATGTGTAAATGTGTGTCTTTGTATAGAAAGAAAGAGAGAGAGAAGGAGGAGAGGGGAGGAGAGGGGAGGGGAGGGCAGGGGAGGGGAGGAGGAAATACAGAGAGTTGTCTCCATGTTGTTTCCATTAGGACATGAGCACTCTGTGGGCAGGGACCATGCTTTTGCCATTTATTTTAAATTTTGGCATCTCTAGCCCTTAGCATAGTGCCTGGCCCACAGTAGGT